TAAATTCAATTAATAAGTAAAGAGTATATTATGATATTTGTTATTATTCAGATCCACTTGATATGATGTACATGTAGCTGAATTGCTGTATATATAACAAGGGTCTGATACCATATATTGGGTAAGATATGTGATGTATATGTTTGTATCATGTTAGGTGTAATGTGAGTCTGTATATTATGTATTTACATTCCATTGTTATGTGAATCATAACGGGAAACGTATCTATTTCATTAATAGTAGTGACTTACATTTGAATTACTGCTGTCGTATTTTAATTCACTGAAGTTTATAAAAATTATGATATACAAAGAAAGTAAATCATATACAGTTAATTATAGTTTTTGTAGGGATAATCTCAATATTATACTAAAGTGAGAAATAGTTTTTATGCCTGAAATATTTATTGAATAGTGAGTATAAAGAAACAGGAAGAGTTATCTCTCTTTGTGTATTTTATATGTGTGTGTGTTATTGTGTGTTAAATAATGTCTGTGTTTATTTCAGACTTGTTGAATATTGAATATTGGATATATAAAGGATTGAAACACCAACACTATTTGTTACTTTGTCAACCCGGTAACAGAAGCACCTAAATAATTTCTTTATGAATGAGGAATCTACATAATTCATTTTAATCTAAACGTGCTAAATAAAGTGTGAGTGTTTGAAAGATATATATATATATATATATATATATATATATATATATATATATATATATATATATATATATATATATATATATATATATATATATATATATATATATTGATAAAATTTATATATGCAAGAGTTTTAATTGCAAGTTAACATTTTGATGTATTCTTGCATCTTAAAGAAGGGATTTGCGAATTTGTTATAATTTTACATACTGTTAATTAGGTCATTTTCATATCTGAGGTGAAGTCAGTTTAGAAAATAGGAATTCACCTTGTTCCATAAATAGGTATATGCTGATAAAAGGTAGAAATGTGTACACATCAGATTGAGTAATGTAACTATTGTTTATAGGATATCTCTATAAATTAGGAGTAAAGACTTGTATAATGGTTCAAAGAGCTAATTGAGTGATATGCGACCTAATTATTTTAAATATTTAATGGTGTAAATATAAGTGACCTAGAAATAATTTTGTGTTAAAGATGCGTTTGTCTGTTTGTATTGTCTTTGTATTGTTCTGTGTATGTATGTGTGTGTTTGTATTTGCTATTATTGTAGTGTTGATCCTAATGATCCTAATCATCAAAATATTGAAAATTCATATATCAATTACATTGGATCCACACCCGAAACCTTCTTGTTGTTTTTTATATAAAACCCAAGAACCGGTTACAAAACAACATAGAGAAAATACAACAACGATATCAAACAAAATACATGATGCAAGACACACAATGACATACGGTAGTCACCCAACCATGAAGCTTAGGCTTGGAGTGTACCAAGTGATTTGGTACCTGCAAAAGCCCTTTGTTCTATGTTTGAAATATGTACTAATAATTACATTCATGGACACAGCACAGGGTCACTAAACAATTAATTTGGACCTGATATGCTAAACAGTTAATAAACAGTTAATAAAATTTACAAATTAAATTAGTAAAGAAAAAAATCTGTCTATTCCCCTCTCTCTTTCTTTCTGACTTCATGATCATCTTTAGCCAAAAACTAAAACAGAAATTCAAGTAAGGTTTACTTGATTGATTAATTAGGATTTACGCTGTGTCACTGATACTTCAGCCGGAATTATATCCCATAAATAGTGCAAAAAAAAAAAGTTTACTTACATCTTGTCTTCGATTCCAATTAAGAGGACACAACAAGAAGTCAATATATGATTTGTTACTAATTTCAAATACACAGGGACAGTCCTATATTACTCAATTAGTTTGTTAACTTTCCTTGTATAGAGAAGGTATTTATAGGCATTGTATGCCTGTTGTCCAGTCTATTCAGTATTCTGAATAAATATTGTTTAAACCAACTTTCCTTCACTGTTGAGGCAATCCAAACATATACAATTGTTTGGTCGCATTTTCTGTGGAATTCTTTGCCTTTTCTGGAGCAATATGACCATTTTATATTCAAAAAGAAAACTTTACTAATGTCCACAAGACACCTAAACATGACTATCTTCATACAGAGTTTTTGAATATGCAGAAATGAACCCAATTGTGTTTGAAAACTACTCACTGTAGACTATCACCTGACCTTGTAGACTAGGTACATGTATTCCTGAGGATATAATTATCACATCTGGGACTATATAAAATGGCACTAGTTAGGATTTTATCATCATTATCTTAATTAAATAACAAGAAACACACTAACACTTGTAATGAAAGAGATAGAGACATAAAGGGTTTAAGTTCTTGTGTAAAACTTCCGAGAGCAGCAGACGTCAGAGTGATGAAATTAGTGATCCTTTTTCCAAAAAGGATGGTTTACAAAACAAAGAGGTTGAAGACAATTGTCTGTGAAGTGTCCAGTGGACTTTGAACAGGAAAGTATTTCTGACATTTTTTTTAACTGAAAGCGGTGTCGAACTTGAAAGTTTGTGTTTATTTTTAGAGACTTGGTTTGTTTCTGTATAATAAAGAATTTATTGCATGAATGTTCAGGAAACACGAAGATTCATTCAGCCAAGAAAAATCATATTTCCCTCGGGAATTATTATTATTTTCCTTGGTTAAATAAATCTTAAACGATTAAATAAATATCATAAACGATTATGCAATAAATTTATATTGTCGAATTGATTGATTGATTGTTATTGTTTTACGCCGAGTCGGCAATATTTCAGCCATATTTCGGCGGTAGTGTCGAATTGAAGTCCACAGCAAGTTTTCTTTTCATGTAGAAGTTTTTTTTAATAAATTCTGTATCATAAGAATATTAAAAGAGATCGGCTAAAAAGGGATGCAGTCAATTCCCACTGGGATTCCGACAGATTGTTAGAAGACATGATCTTCATAGACTATATAGATGTTGTCAATGAGAAACTCCAGCATCCTCTTAAAAGATCAACTTCAGAATACTTGTACGTAGAACCAGAATGCTTTTTTAAAAAGTCATTTTGTAGGTGGGTAATACTTTAAAAAGATTCTATTCTTACAAAATTGAACAATTGTATATGCAATAAGAACATATCTAATGAAATCAAACCTTTAATGAATTAATAAACTTTATTTAACAAAATTATGTGTGACTTTCAATGATTAAATCAATGAAATGATTAAAGCCAAATTACCTTTTAAATGGAAGTGTTCCCACCCGACTTTGTTCACACTTGAAGAAGGAATATTTTCAAAAGTCTGCGAATACAGATATAGAGCTTTGTGACACTGTTCCAAGCAAAACCCTCACATTGATCTATCATTTCTGAGCACTTTGCGCCGCAAACTAATTTGCTACTTATCCAAAGTTCAGCTAACAGAAAGTCCACTTTGAGCACACTGTCTAGGACTGGGATTCTAATAACATTTCATTATTTTCCAAACTTTTTGTCAAGCAGAAAAATGTCATAACACTAACCGAGATCATAAAAAATATAACACCCGACATCCTGCAATCCTTCGCAAAGGTTAAACTCAAAATGTTCTTTTCCTGGTCATAATCTTCTTTCACGGTTTTTCTTTGCTTAAAAAAAAATAGGAGATAAACTGTCAAGGGGGAATTTAAAATGCAACATTTAATATTCAGAAACAAAACTATCTCGTTGATGAATGTGATTGAAACTGCATATTTAAAAAAAGCAATTACTTTTTGTTATTTTGGGACGGTTGGCCATCAGTAGAAATGAGTTTAAAAGGGTTATTTCACTAGATATTTCAATACTTCTCTGATGAGAAAACCAAATCTTAAGATTATTTTAAATGAAATTTACGCGAATTTAACTCAATTAATTCATTTTCTTATCAGCTTATTTTGGGGAGAAATAGCTTAGTGCATCTCAGTCTTGTCAATCAGTAAGGCCTGGATAAATAGTAGTATGTTTCCGGTTCCCCGACCGACCCTAAATTGTACGAGTGTACCCTGAAGTTTCTTTTGGATGTTGTATACTTTCTGGGAGTGAACAATTTTGCTTTTACTATTAGAAATCCTAATATCTGTCTTATCCTTGTTTTAGAAAACACATTTTATACTCGCAAGCTATTTCCCCGGGAATAAAGGCATATAAGCCATCCTTTTGGAGGAAAGAAGTGAATATTGTTTATCTTATAAATTATTGTTTATTGTCAAAGTTGAATAAACCATAAATGTAAATAAATAAATAAATAAAATGTTTTCCTTATCTACCTACCCTATACCTACCTACCCTATACCTACCTACCCTATATCTACCTACCCACCCTATATCTACCTACCCTATACCTACCTACCCTATGCCTACCTACCCTATTTTTACCAGGTTGGAATAGGAGACACGCTTAGCTATTTATTTATCTACTTGCATCAATGCCTTTAAATTTGTTACTTCTAAATACTAGTAAATTTACTGCTAGTATAATGTTCAATTCAACATCCCTTTTAAGATTGATTGATACACCTCGCACATAAGTGCTTTATGCCAAGTAATTTATTGCAAAGCTGCATTCTTTCAAAAATGAACATGGAAAATCATTACCAATAAAATCCAATGCAAGTCTCAATTATGATATTTAATTGTAAAGAAGAAACATTTTGTCAGCTTCAATTATGCAGTATTAAAACAAATTCTGTGGCATATATTGATAAAATCTTTTTTATATATATTATAACCACAGTGGACAGATATCCTTCTATACATTTTTATTTTCAAAATCATTTAAAATTTCCCGAAAGGTACACCTTGAACCAAAGTGAGGATGCCACAACAATGGGCATGCACGTTCAGATGAATGCAAATCAAAATTTCTGACGGTTTCCAGGTTATTTTAGCGACTTGCATAATTATATGACATATCAGGAAAACTAGGTAATCAAAATTCTGCAATAGTATTTTGTATTTATTGATTTTATGCGTTGGATTTAACAAAAAATGGTAACTTATTTCCAGATTTTTCAAGTTCTTTAACACAAAGGTTGGATTTTTCGGTGTATCCACTCGGACAATTTCTACACCGACGAAGGTATGGCTTGGATTTTGGATCTCCTCTGAAATATCAATAATTGAAAAATGTTAATAATGCGTTTTATGTCTACAATTTCCTCTCGATGAAATTGAAAAAAAAAAATTCTGGCTATTTGCAGTTTTTTCCCTATCTAATGCATGTGAAAGACTCCAATTATTCGAAATTTTCATTTATTAAAACTAACAAATGACCAGGTACTAAATTTCCCCATTACGTTATCTTAATTAACAATCATTGACTGGTCTTTGATTAGAAAATACTAGTATACTTATAATTGCAAACTGTCTATTTAGAGTGTAAAAACAAACTACATGCAAACTAATCACATGCCACAAGTATCACTAGTCACATGACCCAAGTCGCCATCTAAGTAGCACAGCGAGTAATAGAAATGTTAAAAACACACTAAATTTAGCAAAAAGGTGGGTGCACACAATGGACATAAAGCAAGGAGACATGCTATGTTCAGTATAGGCGTTGCTGTGTCTTTTTTGTCTTTAGAATTGTCATCAAAGATTTGGTAACTACTGTAAACGTGGAAATTTTGACGACGTGCTAATTTTGACTATATTGACGATTTTTCTTTTCTCGTCAAAATTTCCACTCGTCAAACTTCATATCATATATATAGCGTCACAACAGACATTGACCGTTGTACAACTTTACCGCTTAATTTTTTCGGCTTCCCCCATTAAAACTAGATTAAAATTACTGTTTAATTTTCTTGTAAATAGTTATGAAAACATATAATCACAGTTTAAAAACCATTGAGTATGTCATATACTATTATTACCCATGGTCACAACATTCTAACTTTGCGTAATTATCAGGCCGTGTTTGACCTACTTTGTCACCTCAGGCAATCGGTCTCGCATAATGAAAACAAAGACTAGTACAAAAGAGCAATTAATTCAATCAAATCTTATACACTGTAGATGGTTTTTACAAGCAAAATTGAATTTTATTGATGAGAACGCTTGTAAATGAGTTCCCGAGGAAGTCGCGGTCCTTGCTTAAAACATCGTGAACTCGCACAGAGCGGCTTAATCGTAGACGTTCTGAAGTCAACTAAGCCAATGAATCCATCAAGTTTTTGGTCCTCTAGCTTTTGGCGAACTTACTCGGAGTACTAGTTTTGAAACTGTTTTTTTTTTTAGGAGTTCTTTGTATTCATTTTTGTTTTAATCTTGTGAAATCAAAGATAAATACATAACTCTTGATTCAATATTTCGTCAAAATTAACACTCGTCAATTTTCGTAAACAAAAAATCGTCAATTTTTCAACTCGTCAAAATAACCACGTTTACAGTATTAAAGAAGTAAATGTCTAATAAGATTACTTCGGTGCATAGTTGCAAACGGTAAACATGGCGTCACCACACTCCTTCATTCCACATCCAATAAACTCAGTTTCGGCACGGACAACCTAAACATAAATTTGCTGTATAATTTTAAAAGCTTTTAACATTTAAAAATACTGAACAGAAATCTTTAACTGTAGTGTCCAAACATGTTTTCTTTTTTTTATTTTAAAAAGATTTCACTTTGGAAACATTAAGAATAGCTCTTTGGGGGGAATTATCTATTTCGTTACGACATTCAATTTCTAATTGGTCTATAAAATAATTCAGTAACTTTTAATTGAATTTCGTTATAACGATCAATCTTAATACTTGCTTGTTTGTAACTCTCGCATGAAGCACCGGGTCTGCATTCGTTGCTTTTATAAAAATAATTTGAGACCTCAGATGTCCATTTAGAAATAACAGCAAAGATTCCACGCCCACTGTACTCTATTATAGATATATTATAGATATCAAAAGGTGAATCTTCAACAATGACAATAAACTTTCCGTATAGAAGTATTAGTTTGATAAATTTGTACGAGATAACAATTCTTATTTACAATCAATTACTTTACACTAACTATAACACTATACATAACTCTGGTAGCTTCGTCATACACTTCTATGGTATATGAATTATTCCTTTCCATACTGTATTGGAAAAAAAATCTGGATATTTTAAATTATCAAATATATCAAGTTGGAAACCTTCAAATGTAAAAGAGCTTTTTTTTTTTACCTCTACCAAATATTACAAATTAAGTTATCTTACTATTAACCTTACACATAAGATGTCAATTTTTGCAATATCTAGAACAAATATTGAGTAATTGCTGAATATTCTCTGTGTTTTCTGTAGTGAAAATTAAAATAATATCATCATCTACATACATAAAACAAATAGATGTAATGAAATATGGAAATAAGGAACAGTATTCAAGCTCATAAATTCAATCAAACAATACAAATCAGGAGCAGAACAAACGCGTTTCTCTAAAACATCAGAGATGGGATCAGGTGCCATGGAGGAGTGAGCATCCCTTGCCGACCAGTCACACCCGTCTTGTGCTCCTTGTCATGATCGGGAAAAACGTAGATTGTCCGTAGAAAATTAAGTGTAAATAATGCCTAACAATTAGTATGAAAAACATCAGTAAGCATTTGACTTAATAATAGATTGTATTTGCTGACAAGGTCATTGTATTGACCATAGAACTTACGAAATGAAGACTATAAACAAGAAAATGTTTGTATGTAAGTAAAGATTAAGCTCTCTCTCTTTTGAAGTTTACAGAGAGCCATTTTTTGCAGATTAAAATTCCTCAAGGTCATTTAATTTTCACTTATACCTTTATACATGTGGATTGTGATCTTAAAACATTTTCCATTAATGTTATTTAATTTGTAATTTTATTCGATTGTCCAATATGCCAAACCGAATCAAATGCTTTCCCAAAATCTATGAACGTACAATATGATTTCATTTGGTGCACTTTGAAAAGTTCTAGAAGAGAATATAGTCGGGAAAATATTATCTATAACGTACTCTCAGACATCTGCGGGATCCCTGATTAGTTTTCTAAAATAAATTATATATATTATCAGCTTACTCCTTTAGTTTGTCATTAACAATATCAGCAAATAATTCTCCCAAACAACTCAGAAGTGCAGTAGGTTTATAATTCTTAGGTTCAATATTGTCCCCTTTGTATTTATAAACTGGGATTACGTTTCCACAAGCCCACTGAGGAGATATCACACCAGAATCAAAAAGAATTGTTAAATAATACAGTATATTCAGTGATTTCAACATACAATCACATGGAATTTTAATATATTCATTTAAGATTCTATCATCACCATAACTTTGTTACTTTCAGCATATTAATACCCATGAGTACTTCATAATGTGTTATCTGATGTTAATTATCACGGTTGAGCTTTACATCATCTAAAATATCAAGCTATTCAGCAAACCTGAATCTGCACTACTTTGGAATGCTTGCATATTAAGATGCTCAGTGAACTCTGGTTTCTGAGAAAAAACCTCCTTTATACCTCCCTGTAAACTTTTTATCCCCTGTTGTAGCCCCACTATACTTCCCTGTAAAATGTTTATACCCTGTTGTAGCCCCAATATACCTCCCTGTAAACTTTTTATCCCCTGTTGTAGCCCCACTATACCTCCCTGTAAACTTTTTATCCCCTGTTGTAGCCCCACTATACTTCCCTGTAAAATGTTTATCCCCTGTTGTAGCCCCACTATACCTCCCTGTAAAATGTTTATACCCTGTTGTAGCCCCACTATACTTCCCTGTAAAATGTTTATCCCCTGTTGTAGCCCCACTATACCTCCCTGTAAACTTTTTATCCCCTGTTGTAGCCCCACTATACCTCCCTGTAAACTTTTTATCCCCTGTTGTAGCCCCACTATACTTCCCTGTAAAATGTTTATCCCCTGTTGTAGCCCCACTATACCTCCCTCTAAAATGTTTATACCCTGTTGTAGCCCCACTATACCTCCCTGTAAAATGTTTATCCCCTGTTGTAGCCCCACTATACCTCCCTGTAAAATGTTTATCCCCTGTTGTAACCCCACTTTACTCAAAAAGGCGATAATTTGAAGAACTTCCAATGTAAACTTATTATGGAAGCCTTCACTTAAATTTTGTTTTTCCTCATTCACTCTTAGATGCTTTACAACAAGTTTGGTTGAAATTGTTCGAGTGTGTCTTTTTTTTTTTTAAAGAAGCCGAGGAATGTGTTTACAGACAGACAGACGGGCGCATTCGAGTTTTTTTTTAAAGAAGCCGAGGAATGTGTTTACAGACAGACAGACGGGCGCCCTAAAACTGGTCATCAGAAAAGCTCACTTGAGGTTATGGTTTAGGTGAGCTTAAAAGATTATTGCAGATATCCTAAGGCTAGCCAAAATGTTTTTTACTATAGTAAAAACATTATTACAGAAAATCAAAGTATCAGAAGTTGTAATATAGTAAATCTAGTTTTTATCATAGTAAATAAAAGTATTTGTTCTGTGAAATTCAAACTGTGATATTTTTTTTCACATTCTTGAATGCATTTTTTTTATATTGAAAGGAAATGCACGTAGTACTTGTATATTCAAATATTATTTCAATTAACATCATAGATAAGGAATTTACATCATTGTATGATTGCTGTAACTGAAATCAAGTGTTTGAGATACTCACCGTTTATGTTCATTAGTTGAATGTTTTCCCCCACGTCTTGGAATGACACCGTTACTCTGGTTTTGTTTGTACTTTTTACATAAACACATTTGTCGGCGTGAGCCTGTGCTATTCTGCCAAGTTCTTCACTCCAGATCTACCGCACGTAAATGAAGTACTCAAAGTTGGAGGATTTAAATTATTATAATCGGAATATGATTTGAACTTTATGTTAAAAAAGAAGAAATACCCGAGTAAGAGGAACATTTTTTTACCTAATTTTTTTTTAATCAGAACCTACCAATTTCTTCATATATCTTCCTCCGACATCATTTCTTTTTTTGTTATGTATCTAAGGAATGTAAATACAAGATATTCAATCGTAAAATATATCTTACAATATTTCTATCGTCTTATATACTCATGTATGTTTAAATGTAATTCGTTTAACAGCTAAAAATACTAAAAATACAAAATGATAGTATTTACACATAGTAACACAAATTCAATTTCACAATTTTAAAAGAGGCACCTTTTGTCATCATAAAATCCACTTAGTTGTGTGCTAAATATACAGTGGGAGAGGAGAATTTTGTCAAAGAATTTAAGCATTTTTACTATTTTATTAATAAAACCCTACCCTAGCACCAGAATACCTGATCCTTGGGCAATGAATTTCACAATTTTGGTTGAAGGCTCAATGCTTATTACAATCATGACAACAGTTTGACTGCTTGATGTCCAGGAGTAACGAAGAAGATATTTAAACATTTGCATTAATTTTCATGGTTTTATCCCCAGCCCTCAAGCCCCAGGGGACAGAGACCACAAAATTCATAATTTTTGTTCCCCTTTACCCATAATTGGTTGCAATTCGTTCAAAGGTTCCGTTGAAGAAACTGAAAATGTTCAAAAGTTTACGAATATAATAAAAATGTGCAGTCAAACCTCGCTATCTCGAACTTGATGGGACCGAGGAAAAACTTCGAAATATTCGAGGTTTCGAGATATCGATGTAAAATACTTAATAAAAATATGCAGTTAGGATTTCCCAATCACTTCGACATATCCATGGTATTCGAGATATCCGTTTCGAGATACCGAAGTTCAACTGTGTTTCAAAAATTTGTTTTGGTAAGATAAAATAAAATGTATCTGTGAGAGGAATGAATGACTGAATAAAAGAAAAATACTCGACGCACAATATTGTTTGAATTTTTATGATAGAGATCTGATAGTAAAGGATTAGAAGGAAAAACCAACAAAAAATGTAATAAAAAATAATAATCATAATAAAAAAATATTTTCATATCCAACTATAAAACATTGAATATTACCTATTTAATTTCTTAAAATGTAGCATAAAACATGTGTATTGAACTACATAAAAATCCAATAAAATGATTATTCACTGATACTGTTAGCAAATTATAATACGATTTGACACAACAGTAGCAACTGAAATCGCAAGGACACTCCTTTTAGTTGGAATTGATATACTGTAGAACACTAAATTTTCGCGACACCTTATTTTTGCGAGGTAGCCATTGACCCTTTATTAGCGAGACAAAATTTTAACGAATTGTGGTTATTGCTTCATACAATCTTTAGAAATACTAATATACATGAGAATGAAATTTTCGCGAGGACACTGTCCCGCAAAATTACGGGGAAAAAAATAAAATTCTCAGTTCAGACCATAATATACTTAATATTATCCTTGGATTTCTTTTTATCACTTTCGATGAAACTGTATCGTATCATGTAAAACTTACAATGAAATATCTTCAAGAGTTTGAAATTAATAAATTAATTTATTTGTACAAAAAAGAAAACAGAACAGTGTAGATTAAGTGTTCAAAATAAAAAAAAAAACTAAGAAGTTGAAACAAACCTCAACAAACTTAACCATTGTTTCGTTGGAAACATTTGCGAATATTCCGATATTATTTCAATTAACATCATAGATAAGGAATTTACATCATTGTATGATTGCTGTAACTGAAATCAAGTGTTTGAGATACTCACCGTTTATGTTCATTAGTTGAATGTTTTCCCCCACGTCTTGGAATGACACCGTTACTCTGGTTTTGTTTGTACTTTTTACATAAACACATTTGTCGGCGTGAGCCTGTGCTATTCTGCCAAGTTCTTCACTCCAGATCTACCGCACGTAAATGAAGTACTCAAAGTTGGAGGATTTAAATTATTATAATCGGAATATGATTTGAACTTTATGTTAAAAAAGAAGAAATACCCGAGTAAGAGGAACATTTTTTTACCTAATTTTTTTTTAATCAGAACCTACCAATTTCTTCATATATCTTCCTCCGACATCATTTCTTTTTTTGTTATGTATCTAAGGAATGTAAATACAAGATATTCAATCGTAAAATATATCTTACAATATTTCTATCGTCTTATATACTCATGTATGTTTAAATGTAATTCGTTTAACAGCTAAAAATACTAAAAATACAAAATGATAGTATTTACACATAGTAACACAAATTCAATTTCACAATTTTAAAAGAGGCACCTTTTGTCATCATAAAATCCACTTAGTTGTGTGCTAAATATACAGTGGGAGAGGAGAATTTTGTCAAAGAATTTAAGCATTTTTACTATTTTATTAATAAAACCCTACCCTAGCACCAGAATACCTGATCCTTGGGCAATGAATTTCACAATTTTGGTTGAAGGCTCAATGCTTATTACAATCATGACAACAGTTTGACTGCTTGATGTCCAGGAGTAACGAAGAAGATATTTAAACATTTGCATTAATTTTCATGGTTTTATCCCCAGCCCTCAAGCCCCAGGGGACAGAGACCACAAAATTCATAATTTTTGTTCCCCTTTACCCATAATTGGTTGCAATTCGTTCAAAGGTTCCGTTGAAGAAACTGAAAATGTTCAAAAGTTTACGAATATAATAAAAATGTGCAGTCAAACCTCGCTATCTCGAACTTGATGGGACCGAGGAAAAACTTCGAAATATTCGAGGTTTCGAGATATCGATGTAAAATACTTAATAAAAATATGCAGTTAGGATTTCCCAATCACTTCGACATATCCATGGTATTCGAGATATCCGTTTCGAGATACCGAAGTTCAACTGTGTTTCAAAAATTTGTTTTGGTAAGATAAAATAAAATGTATCTGTGAGAGGAATGAATGACTGAATAAAAGAAAAATACTCGACGCACAATATTGTTTGAATTTTTATGATAGAGATCTGATAGTAAAGGATTAGAAGGAAAAACCAACAAAAAATGTAATAAAAAATAATAATCATAATAAAAAAATATTTTCATATCCAACTATAAAACATTGAATATTACCTATTTAATTTCTTAAAATGTAGCATAAAACATGTGTATTGAACTACATAAAAATCCAATAAAATGATTATTCACTGATACTGTTAGCAAATTATAATACGATTTGACACAACAGTAGCAACTGAAATCGCAAGGACACTCCTTTTAGTTGGAATTGATATACTGTAGAACACTAAATTTTCGCGACACCTTATTTTTGCGAGGTAGCCATTGACCCTTTATTAGCGAGACAAAATTTTAACGAATTGTGGTTATTGCTTCATACAATCTTTAGAAATACTAATATACATGAGAATGAAATTTTCGCGAGGACACTGTCCCGCAAAATTACGGGGAAAAAAATAAAATTCTCAGTTCAGACCATAATATACTTAATATTATCCTTGGATTTCTTTTTATCACTTTCGATGAAACTGTATCGTATCATGTAAAACTTACAATGAAATATCTTCAAGAGTTTGAAATTAATAAATTAATTTATTTGTACAAAAAAGAAAACAGAACAGTGTAGATTAAGTGTTCAAAATAAAAAAAAAAACTAAGAAGTTGAAACAAACCTCAACAAACTTAACCATTGTTTCGTTGGAAACATTTGCGAATATTCCGATATAAAGAGAAGCTGTTAGAAGTACCACTGCCGCCAGATTATACTGCATCTTGTGTGTGGATGTATATGAGGGCACCTGCTGATCATCATTATATAGCATCAACGGTATAGATTTATCTCATCTAACGTATCAACCATATTAATGATGGAACCTAAGATACAGGTATATGTGTAGGTTGTAATAGTGCTTTATGTTCAATATATAAATGAAATTTATTTTTAAAAGTGCTTGCAATAACACACTAAATTCTTTGATACTCATCTATTAATTATCTTTAGTGAATCACTGTATCACATGACAAAGTACTTATCGGCCTCCTCTAGTCATCCTATTTTTAAAGCTTTTAAAAAAGTCAAGCAGTTCAATGTAATACCAGTAATGATATAAAATCCACTGATTATCATAAATATCATTATTGAATGATTTCCATCCATTCATGATATTCAGTAATGACACTAGCTGCAGATCTGTAGCTCTCTGCTTGAGAAAATTCGGACAGATAAAGCAGAGAGCTACAGCTCCAAGCATTGTAAAAACCTTCGATTTATGGCGACGCTTTTTTATCGCTCACTTATGAACATAATACCAGAAGCGAGGGACAAAAAGCGGCGGTGTGAATCGAAGATTTTTACAACGTTTGGATCTGTAGCTCTCTGCTTTATCTGTTCGAATTTTCTCAAGCAGAGAGCTATAGTTCTGCAGCTATAATGACACAAATTTTATCATTAGTGGTTTTTGCAAACGTACTCTATGCTTATCAATTTTTCTAATGAAACATTCTGTAGTAAATTTTCGTCAATAAATTTATACCTTGGCATTTTCGTCTTAATTATTATTAGTCCCCTACCGGTGAAACCGGAGGGGACTATAGGTTTCCTCTGAGTCTGTCCTTCCGTCTGTCTGTCTGTCTGTCCCTCTGTCCCTCTGTCTATCTGTCAGTCTGTCCCACTTGGTTTTCCGCACTTTTTTCCTAAATGCTTGCAGATATTGAGCTGATTTTTGGTACGTGATTGTATCTTGATGAGTTACAGACCAAGTTTGCATTTCGTTCCGCTTCATTGATTTTTGACGGCCTTTTCAATTTTTAAGGGTTTTCCGCAATTTTCTTCTAAACGCTTTCAGATATTGAGCTGATTTTTGGTATGTGACTTTACCTTGATAAGTTATGGATCAAGTTTGCATTTCGTCCCTCTTCGTTGATTTTTTATGGAATTATGGCATTTTCAATTCTTAACGGGAACCAGATTACACTTGCCAGTAGGGGACTAGTATTGCTAATGCAATACTCTCAGAATGCTTGTTCAGTATTGCAATTCGTGCAAAATAGTGCGGAATATTGCAATGAGAAGATTTAGCACGATTAAGAATTATTATTTGTCAATAACTGTAAGCATAAAAGATTTACTCAGATATTTCTATGTAAACAAGTACATTTTAACAATGTACTTACATGTCCCAGCTCGATCTCGACCCCTCGAACTTCGGTGGAATACTCAGTAACATATAACAGCTAGAAGAAATCCCGCGCAAGCGCGGGGAATTGAAATTATACCACTACCAACAGAAAAATTCCAAGAATATATATTTGGTACGTGAGTGTATCTTGATGAGTTACAGATCAAGTTTGCATTTCGTTCCGCTTCATTGATTTTTGACCGAATTATGGCATTTTCAATTTTTAACGGGAACCATATTACACTTGCCGGTAGGGGACTAGTATTGCTAATGCAATACTCTCAGAATGCTTTTTCTTTTAAACATCGATGTCATATGATGTTCTAGAAGTTTCCGTCAATATTAAGATCGGTGAATGACGAAAATAATTTGCACATTTCCTTTTTTAATCGGTAATCACAACTTATTTCTTTTATACCATTTAAATCAAGTTTTGATTGAATAATTCAATGATGACGTTTTATGAAATAAATAAACGACTACTTGTTGTTAGTTTCATTAAAAATTGCCAGTAACTTTGATCCGCCAACCTGAATCGCCACCGTACTCACGTTTTTGCTACTTCATGGCTGTTTATAGAAAATGAAAGTAGACTTTTAATTTAATGTACGATACTTACTATGCGAGTGAAATCTGAATATAGTTTACGGACATCAACTTGTACCTAGTGTATTCATAGAGGAGTTAGTAAGAACTCTGGTGCACCCGTGTCGGAGTTTATTTGCAAAATTTATTAATTTATAAGTATAGATTTCTTTAAATTCCTATCAGTAATATACTCTTATGATGCAGGATTTATTCAAAAACTTCTTCAGAAGAAGAAAACTGTTGCTTTGGCCTTTTGTTTTATCAATTAACATTTAGTTCTTTTCATTTGCCATGTCTACTCGTTATACATATACTAGTACCCAATGTCTTCGGTCTGAGGGTGTATGGAATAAAACGCGAGGTAAATCACCGTACACCCTTGATTGGACCTGGAGAACTAATAGTATCTCATGTCTACTCGCTATACATGTACTAGTACCCCATGTCTACTCGATATTCATGTACTATTATCCCAGTGAACTCGAAATAAAAGACACCACATGGTCTATCACATTTGTTCCGTATTTTTATGTTTTACTGATGTTAATGGCCAGCCAAAACTAAACAATATGACAAACGGGACGACTGTTTTTCCTTCGTCAACTTCCCTTTTTTATGTAGTAACATGCCACTCTCATCTGTATACGGTGTTTAAGTCTCCCAGTTGATTCGAAACGCAAGAGTTCAATCAATTTTTTAAGTAAAACCTTAACCTTGCCAATAACTTTTGATTGTTGGACCTAGGGCTTTCAAATTTCACATTAGTTTTCCTTGTGACAAGTCTTCGTTTTAAATACAAAAACATTTGACCTCTTGACCTTGTAGTTTGACTTACTTTTACAAAATTTTACCAAACTTTTACAAAATTTTACCAAACTTTAACATTGGCTATAAATTTTGAACGGTTATCAAGGATTTTCATATTTCATATGTAATTCCTTTCGAGTAACAACATCATTGACCTCGACCTTGGGTTTGGCCTACTAGTATTTTGAAAAACTTTAACCTTGACCAAAACTTAAAAACAGTTGGTGCTAGGGATTTCATATTTCACTAGTGTATCTTTTTTACGCCCCCGTAATTCGGTGGCATATAGCGTTTGCCTTTGTCCGTCCGTCTGTCTGTCTAGCTGTCTGTTTGTCCGCAAAAACTTTAACCTTGCCCATAACTTTTTGTTGGTTGAAGCTATGGCTTTCCTATATGTATTCCTTGCGACAAGACCTTTCTTTGGGTACCATCATATTTGACTTTTTGACCATGACCTTGGAGTTTGACCCAGTTTTGCAAAATTTTACCCAACTTTAACCTTGGCCATAACATTTGAACAGTTGGTGCTAGGGATTTCATACTTCACATGTGTAGTTTTTGTGTCAAGACCTTCTTTTGGATACCAACAATTATAGCCCATTGACCTTGACCTTGGAGTTTGACCTACTTTTAGAAAACTTTAACGTTGGCCATTACTTTTGAACAGTTGGTGCTAGGGATTTCCTACTTCACATATGTAATCCCTGTGGCAACTTTTGAACGGTTGGTACTATTTCACATGTGTATTTCTTGTGAGAAGGTCTTTCCTTGGGCATCATTAATTTTAACCATTTGACCTTGACCTTGATATTTGACTTACTTTTGAAAAACCTTTCCGATATCGTTTCAATGGTTCCTGCTGGGGCTTTCATATTTCAAAGGTATATTCCTCGAGACGAATGCTGGACAACTCGCCCCCAAGACAAGATCTAACTTTGGGTACCAACATATTTGATTTGCATTCGAGAACGTTGAACCTTCGCTGTAAGTTGCCGTACAGGGGTACAGTGTTTCACAAATGCATCTTGTTTGACAAGACCTTTCCTTGGGTACCAACGTTTTTGACCTCATGACCTTTACCTTACATTCGTATGACCTATTTGTGAAAAAATAACTTTGGCTATACATTTAACTTTAGAACAGTTGGTGTTAGGGCTTTCATATTTTTCACATGTATGTTACCGGTGACAAGACCTTTCTTTGGGTACCAACATTTTTTACCTTTTGAGTTTGACCTTGAAGTTTTACCTTCGTTTGAAAAACGTTAACATTGATCATAACTTTTGAACTGTTGGTGCTAGGGCTTTCATATTTCACCTTACATGCATTCTAGTTAAAATTCCTGAAGTGGCAATAGAATAGAAAATTGCATAAAAAATGTTTCATAATTTTTTTGAAACTAAAGTTTTAATATATATATATATATATATATATATATATATATATATATATATATATATATATATATATATATATATATATATATATATATATATATATATATATATATAAATTATAACACGCAATTACTCATTCAAAGTTCGTTAATCAGTTCGGTATTTTGATATTTTTATTATTATTTACGGCAAGTTTTTTTTTCATATTTTCTAAACTTCAAAATGTGATTTTTTTTTTTTGCTTTTGTAATATATATTTAAAAATATGTGTTTAGCGATGAAAACTAATTTGTGAATTGACGATAAAATTTCCAATCAATATCTGGCGACCCAAACAGTATATATAATTTATTTCTGCAGTCTATTTTTAGAAATGTAGATTAAGTTCATTGATAATTATAAAAGTTTTGTTGCACTCCTGACTGCAGTATATTTGAAATAAAAAATTAAAAATAATAAAAATTAAGAACACAAAAATTCATAAAGTTTGGCAACATCAAGTTTGAACGAAATTGCGCAATAATTAAAGTCCAATACTTCAAGGTAAAAACAAATTAATGCATTTAAATTTTGTTTTGTATCTTGAATTATTCCCTATTTATGTCAAAAAACTAGCTGAAAATATAATTAGAAGATAAAAGTATATCTTTTAGCATATTTTCCTTCACCGGACAAACAGTGAGCAATTGAGGTCAACCAGAAACATTTTACTCATCATTTTTTTCTTTATATTCATTCATATATGCATGATTTATATAACATTTTATAGTTTTAATATATCAGTTATTGTTTTACACTTAAAAAATTCTTATTTTTACTAAATTGTCATACAGATATTTAAAAGCAATGTTTTTTGACATCACTACATTTTTTCTGTTGCACTCCTGACTTAAATTGGTATAGCAATTTTTAAGCATCAGCCAAGACCACAACTTGGTCAAACAAAAAGTTGTTACAGTTTACATTTAAAGGTCAATACTTTAAATATTATAAGGAAATTCTTTATTTTCAAAATAAACCACTATTTTTTATTTCACAGATCTTCAAAATATATCGAATTTTCAAAATGTCACAAAAAGGTATTGCACTCTCGACATTTTAAGCATCATTTTTTGGCATAATTTTTTTGTGACTTGAGATACATCAATGAGATATTTTGGCAGGTATTTGGACACTATCTAAGGACATTTGCTGAGATATAGAAATTTATTCGCCTTGTAGTGAGTTATATAAATGGAGCGAAGTGGAATCAGTATAGCCCTGTATATACGACTCATTTTAAAAACCTGCATCTTTTTGTTCTTGACTGAGTTGAACATTACCCTCAGCATTAAGCAATGCCTCGCTTATTGGCCAACCTGTTCAAAACTGCTTCGTTGATGTGCAAAGGAAGCACAGAAACAGAAAATACGCGCGCACACACACACACACACACACACACACACACACACACACATATATATATATATATATATATATATATATATATATATATATATATATATATATATATATATATATATATATATATATATATATATATATGAGAGACCTATATACAATTAATATACAATTACATAGGGCCTTGCTAACATTATAGGTTGGTGTAACGACTAAAATGCACCTTTTTGGTAGGAGTGTGTAGTTTTAATAAAATATTTGGAGATAAAGAACGAACAGTATTCGAGCTCAAAAGTCCATTAAACCCTTGACTTATAATTTGCGTTGTAGAGCGTTGCAATTCTATATTTAGATTCTTGGTTAGGAAGACAGCCATTGAACGAAAATGATAGAACAGGGCAGAGGAGAGCTCAAAATCTTATTTAATGCGAAAAGAAAAACCTTAAAGAAATGCATATTACAAATCAACAATAGAGTGTAATAATATCACATATAATGTTCATTATTTTACCAAAAATAATACTGAGACCAACATCGTTTATATTTTTACACTTTTATCATCTAAACCAATAAAGAAAACCAATCGAGTACGATCTCTCAAATCAAGAACCAATAAACAAGAAGTCAGCCAAAATAAAAAAAAAAATTAGTATAAAGAATGAAAACGAATTGTTACAATTTACATTCATGTAAGCAATTTCTTTTTGACTTCACAAAATGAAATGACGTTTATTCCATTCCTATCCAACCCGGATGTATAAAATCCTCGATGGAGTTATTTCTAAACTCTTTAGCGAATTCAGATCCAGGAACAAATATGTGCTTGTAATACACAGTTGTCCCCCTTGTCATCCAACCAATCCACCAACCATAAGTTCCAACCGACACAATAGTGTGGTTAGCGAAGGACAACAAAGCCATATCCTCAACAGCTGAATTTCCTCGAACGTAATAAATATTGGTTTCCGATTCCAACACTTTGATTGGCCACCAAATTTCATCAGAACTTAAAATAAATAAGACATTTCCAAATTTCTTCCTAAAATATGTCATGGCGTTCTTATAATAGGTAGCGTTGGGTGTCACTTTCCCGAATTTTTTGTGTCCTTTTGTGGCGTAATCTCCTCGTCGGACATGGACACCGACTACAACGCCTGTCCTGTCAAAATTCATCTCCTGTAAAATATCCACAAACTGGGAAGAAGCTGACTCCTTTATGGAGCTATTAAATTGAAAAATATCTCGGATTTCGTCTTCAAATTTTATCCAATATTTCCAGGACTGGAAATAACCATCGTATTTGACGTTTGTATGTGACGGAACCTTGAACAAGTTCTCGTCATACGACAGACCCCACCGCTCTACATGTTTTGGTAGCTGTGAACACGTCTTAAAACGCTTTGGGGTTTTCTGGATAGTCGTAGGCTGAACGTTGAACACATTTAGGAGTTCAAAATCAACTGGAACGATCGGATAGAGGTCTTTGGTTTTAGCTACGACGTACAAAAAAGCATATTGCAACATAAGATTCCCTAATCCTCCTTTGAAATTGACACAAGCAACGGCTTTGGACTTATCATACGTGAAGTTAGTTCTCTTCACGTTGTGATCTTTTATGTCATTCACTTTACGTGTAGTTTGAAGATTTCCAGTGGATTGTTGTAGCCATGTACGTGTTCCAGGCATCGCTCTCCTCATCGCCACTAAACCTAGAGTAACTGCTATAACGATCACTGAAATATATGTTTCGGTAATTTTTCAAAGTCATTCAAGACGAAATGTTGTGATTTGCTGATCAGACATGACAAAAAGGAAACGTAAAACTAACCTGTCAGAAAAACTACTGCATGTTTGAATCTGCAATAACGAAGGAAATAATTATTTGGTGAAAGTTTTTTTTCTGAATGCCTACAATAAATTACATGGGAACTTGACGTCAAATATTTATCTTAACGCAAAAAAAAAAAAAAAATAACCCTACAAAGATGGGCGTATTCGGAGTGTAATCTGCAGGAATCGTGAATACGAACGAATATTTCGTAGTTTATATGCCCAGTCAAGCAGATTTTGGTCGGCTGAAAACAGCTGGACAGTTTTTACGCACATAGAAAAATATAAATACATTGAAATACCTTGTTCAAAAAAAAAATTGTTCATCTTAACAGGTTTGGACAATCCCCAGTTATGGAAGTTGTTATAAATATACTTCATATACACGTAAATATTTTTATGCCCAAACAGAAAAACAGCAAAACTTTACATATTTTAAAGGACCAAGAAGAGAACATGTGCTTTTTATCTCCAAAAGATTTTATTGACAAAAATCTTTAGAAGTAAGTTGAGATGTTTGGAAGAATAAGGTTATCCTCACATATTTATCGTGAATAGACTTGACACTTTCATCTCGCAAAAAAAAAAAAAAAAAAAAAAAAAAAAAAAAAAAAACACACATTAATGCACGGGCACTGGAAGTTTATGAATATTGAGTAAGTGCATGTATGAAAAAGGAAGGGTAGGACACTCTTTTTGAGGCAAATTCGGGTTTCGGGAAGTGTGGATTTTTTTAAACGGCCTGACTTTACTTACAATATATATCTTGCTTCGTTCCGCTCCAATGCATTTTACTCGACGAAATAGATGCTTTTACACCTCCAAGTGCCTAAGAATTTTGCTAGACTGCTCTACTTTCGGTTACAACTACAAGCGAATCTAATGCTTAGTTCTAATTTGTCTTCATATATATATATAAAATAATTCTTGAAATACAAAAATGCAATTTGGAAAATTTGTCAATTGAGCCATCTCCTACTGAATTTTCTTTGGACGATGTTTTACCTTTGATTTTTATTATATACAGTTTGACTGATTAATCAGAATTAAGCTTTTAATCCACTTGTGATTGTAACTGAAAGTAGAGCAGGCTATCAAAAAAAAAAACAAAAAAAAACATGCGATCCTTTTACGGAGAAATAGGTCACACCGTCAAAATATTAAAGATGAATAATGACCCCAGTAAAATACTGACCGAGGGTAATATCACCTATTCAACTCAAATATGTAATATCACCTATTCCAATAGGTGCTATTCATTTCCAATAGGTGATATCCCCGATTCGAAAAGGTGATATCACCTATTCAATTTGAGTTAAATTACAATTTCAAACAGGTGATATCACCTTTTCGAAAAGGTGATATCACTAAATGGCAATAAATACCAATCGAGCGCCTCATACAAGACATAGACAATGATCGGTACATGTGTAATGATCCCGTACCGGCAGTTTTGTACCTGTGCACGTTAGTTCACTCGTTCGTTGTGAGAAAAAAAATTTCCAAACGTTTTCACGACAATGGAAACAGCTTTAAAAATCTTAAATGTAAATGCATTTGCACGTGAAGTTTCACAAAGACTTTACAAGCCAACCATGAGAATATTCGGTGACAATTTTTTTTCCATGACAACGGTAGTTTAACGAACATCTAGAGTTGCTGATCATTTCTGAAACGTTTCATTAAGTTTATACAAGTCATGTCCGAGAAAATGTTCGGACAAAATAATAGATCTAGCGATAATAATGTATTGTCCTGACTTGTGTTCTGGACGACATAATTATACAACTTTAACCAATAGCCACTGAGACGTGTCTATTGTGCAATTTTATTTTTGAGCCCAGAACAGAATAGGTAAAGTCAACATTTCGTACATTTTATGGCCGTTATAATGACCTTGTTAGAAAATATTAGCTATCATTGGGTCTTATTTTGGCTGACTTGTTTTATTCCAATTGTAAGCCTTTGTTTTTGTACTGAATTGACTACGGATAGTTCCATCTACCTGATCAATACATAGGGGTCACGGCGGGTGTGACTGGTCAACAGGGGATGCTTACTCCCCCTAGACACCTGATCCCACCTTTGGAATTTCCAGGGGTCCATATTTTATGCCCTCTTTACAAAATTGTATTGTTTATAGATTTTTGAGATCAATTACTGTTCGCTATCTTCACTTTTTTCAGTCTAATAAAAAGAAACACATGTGATGTTATTTAACAATTTTAATTACGTGTTCGTCTAGTGTTAATCAGAAAACCGCGCAAGAGAAATACTCTTTGAGAACCAATCCTTGGCATCAATCATCTCTTTTCAACTTTGTATCACTCTGTTGGGATGGGGTCAATTTTCAATGGGGTCAATTTTTATAGGTTGCACATGTAGAAAACTGACCCCTTTTTTTACAAAAATCACATTTTTCTACGGCTAGGGAGTCATTTTTCTACGGGGGGTCATTATTTGTCTTTACAATTACAACATTTATCAGAAATTGTGCTATATTGGTAAATAGAATATTGCTTATCCGTCTGATTTTCATCGATAACGTGAAGTTTTCATGCGTATAGATCTAAGTACAGCACGCAAGGTTTCATGAGTGCTGAATACCATGTTATACTTTAAACAAGCATAGTAAAAGGTGTAACACGTGGGGAAAAAGGAATGAATTATCACCATAACTTACCACGCATACCAGAAACTGGACGATTTTGTTATACATGTACACAGGAAATAATTAAGACGATCATATTCCCAGTACTAATACCAAGACATATTCATGCCAGGTTCTAAAAACTGAAAATCTGCCGTATTTATATCAAATTTCTTGACGCAAATTTAACCTTGGAATTGTAACCCTCAAAGTGACAGATTTTAATCCCACTTCGAATTTATTCTAAGCCTTCGAGTCATGTATGTTCACGGTAGAATTGTTACATATGATGTGTTATTCCTAAAGGTGCATAAAGTTTACAAAAAGCTTTTGTGCAAAAAATACATATATACCTCTCTTGCAAATTTTTACGAGATAAACGAAGAGTCATTGAAAAGATACGCTTATATAAAGGTCGTTGGATACCCAAAATTCGGCGGAAGTTAGATTTTTATCAGATCTTCTTGTATTTTGTCGAAATCAAAGTAATTTGTTACGTGGTAAAAATCAGAGTTAATTTATATTTATTTGGGGGATTTAATTTATTCATAATTTTGCATCGATTTCAATTTAAATATAAAGGTATAGATTTGGAGAGAATGAAAAAATAAGACTGACATAATATAAAAATTTTATGATAAATATATGTTTTACCAACAAAAAAGTGTATACAAACTGTTTTACATACTTCTTTTAATTAGCATACTTTGGAGGTATCCTATGTCCTTAAGTAATAATAACATACATTAATATATAGCTCTACTGTGCGATTTCAGTTTGTACTCATCTAGCGAATATCCATTTTTGGTGATTAACACACCAAGTACTTTCATCAAAGAATAACTAGTGCTTCTTTTGTATAAAATGTTACTGATAAATTCATAAGAATCTGTGATTTTTTTGGGAATAAGAATTATTACCTTCTAGCAAAGACCCTTTTCCTGAAAGACCCCAGGTACGTCATTGAATAGCTATGTGATGTTGTCCACGAATTAACCGAAGTAAAAATATATCGTGTAGGTTTAGCTGTGGTGTGAGTTAGCGCAACCTAGTAACTCAGTTCCAGTGGAGAGAACTTACCATATAAAGATACTGCACAACATACGAACATGCTGTGTAAGATGTCTGAAATTGATTAATACAAACAAATGTACATTAAATGTATTAGCAAGGATTCTTCCCAGAATGAGTTGATCACACACAAACACACACACTTAACAAACAATATCTTTAATTGATGTAACATAAAAGTGTAGTGTGAGACATTTAAAAATTTTACCTGACTAAGGCAAATTCCTTTGTTATGTTCAATTCTTTACCTATATTAGTTTACTGATAAAATATGATTGTCAATTTTCGTCAGCAATCCTTATAATCGTTTCAAGATTAGATTTTCACTCACGAGCACACATTGAGGACATAGCCTGCTAACCATACGATAAACAATATTTACATATTAATTGTGGCTTAATTTGTTGTTCTTGAATATGAAATGGTGCTTAGAAGCATGTGTACAAATGGATGCAGATGCAATTGAATACAGTTTTGCTACAAGCTAGGAATGGATACGGATGTGCTACAAGCTAGGAATGAATACAGATGTGTTACAAGCTAGGAATGAATACAGGTGTGCTACAAGCTAGCAATGAATACAGATAGGCTACAAGCTAGGAATGAATACAGATGTGCTACAAGCTAGGAATGAATACAGATGTACTACAAGCTAGGAATGAATATAGATAGGCTACAAGCTAGGAATGAATACAGATAGGCTACAAGCTAGGTATGAATACAGATGTGCTACAAGGTAGGAATGAATACAGATGGGCTACAAGCTAGGGATGAATACAGATAGGCCACAAGCTAGGAATGAATACAGATGTGCTACAAGCTAGGAATGAATACAGGTGTGCTACAAGCTAGGAATGAATACAGATGTGCTACAAGCTAGGAATGGATACAGGGTGCTACAAGCTAGGAATGAATACAGATGTGCTACAAGCTAGGAATGAATACAGGTGTGCTACAAGCTAGGAATGAATACAGATGTGCTACAAGCTAGGAATGAATACAGATGTGCTACAAGCTAGGGATGAATACAGATGTGCTACAGGCTAGAGGTGAATACAGATAGGCTACAAGCTAGGAACGAATACAGATGTGCTACAAGCTAGGTATGAATACAGATGTGCTACAAGCTGGGAATGAATACAGATAGGCTACAAGCTGGGAATGAATACAGATAGGCTACAAGCTGGGAATGAATACAGATGTGCTACAAGCTAAGGATGAATACAGGTACATGTATGCTACAAGCTAGGAATGAATACAGATGTGCTATAAGACAAAAATAGAGAATGGGTACACTACAAGAGTGGACATCAGATGCAGCTTGTATCAATTGTCGAGGCAGTTCGTAGAACATATTACAAATACAGAAATCCAGAGTTTCTGTAAGCATTTACACACTTTTCAGAAAACTGACAAACACATGGACAGTTGAAAAGGAAAGGTTATAATATTTTATTTTAGCAAATTAATAAATCCTTCAGGACTGATTATCAACATGAGATGATAAATGAATGTTACTTACATATTACAGTCAGATAAATAGAACCACAAGTAGTTAGTAAATGAGAAACAAATGCATAGGAGACGATATGAACATGGCTCATACACAGATGAAGTCAGAGCATAGGTCAGTCATATTTCATGATAATTATGACAGAGCATAACTAAGAGATGATGATAGAGCTTAGCTCAGACACACCTGATGGTAGAGCGTCAAGATGGTGCAAAGCTCAGGCACAGATGATGATGGTATAACATACCTATGGCACGGATGATGATTGTACAGCATACCTATGGCACGGATGATGATGATTAAAATGATGATAGAGAACAGCTAAAACACAAATGATGGTATAGCATACCGACGGCATGGATGATGATGATTGAAATGATGATAGAGCACAGCTAAGACACAAATGATGGTAAAGCATAATTCAGACACATAATGATTTAAGAGCATTGCTCAGACACAGATAACGATATAAGAGCATAGCTCGGACACAGATAATGATTTAAGAGCATAGCTCAGACACAGATATTGATATAAGAGCATAGCTCAGACACAGATATTGATATAAGAGCATAGCTCAGACACAGATAATGATTAAAGAGCATAGCTCAGACACAGATAATGATTTAAAAGCATAGCTCAGACACAGGTAATGATATAAGAGCATAGCTCAGACACAGATAATGATTTAAGAGCATAGCTCAGATGCAGATGAGGGTGGAGTATATCTCAAACACAGATGATGATGATGATGATGATGATGATCGAGCACAGCTCAGACAGAGGTGATGACAATAGAGTAAATGCAGCTCAGACACAGATAATGGTAGAACATAGCTCTAGCACAGATGATGATAGAGCAAAGGTACATGTACATTATAGCTCCAGCACAGATGATGGTAATCATGGTATAGCATAGCTCAGACACAAAGGATGGTAGGATGGTATAGCATAGCTCAGGCAAAGACGATGATGGTAGGGCATAGCTCAGACACAGACGATGGTAAAGCATAACTCAAACACAGATTATGGTTGTAGAGAATAACTCGGGCAAAGAGCATATCTCATACACAGATGCCTAGATTTGTTATTAACAATGAAGCTTATGGAAGGAAATGTATCTATAAAGATTTTTAGCAAGAATCTTATATTTATCATGTAAATGGTAACATTCAAAAATCAGAATTGGACCTTATCTTAAAGAAAAAAAATGTTTGTTCAAATGTGTCCTTCTAAAAGATAAACTCAGTCCAAAGATAACTGAAAGTAAAACATTTGAAATTAAAAGTGATCGTTTATTCACTTACTGAATTTCACTTTAGACATCCTATTATTCCATTTCTATCCAACCTGGATATATGAAATCCTGTGTAGAACCATCTCTAAAATCTTTAGAGAATCGACTTCCGGGGACAAACATATGTTTGTAATATATAGCTATGCCCCCTGCAAGCCAGCCAATCCACCAGCCATACGTACCCACAGACATGATCGTGTGATTGGCCATAGAAAGAAGAGCTAAATCTTCCGCGGCCGAATTTCCTTCAGAGAAATATACATTGGGTTCTGTATTCAAAGCGTCTCTAGACCACTCTAAGTCTGTTGAACCAACGATAAATAACACTTTCCTAAACTTCTTTTTGAAATAGGATATAGCATTAAAATAGTAACTTGCGTTCGGTGTAATTTTACCGAAAGCCACTACTTCTTTTGAAATATAATCCTCTCTGCGAATATGCACGCTGACGACAACACTTTCACTGTCTAATGTGAAATTCATTCTTTGTAAAATATCCTTGAATTGCAAATCAGCCTTTTGCCTGACTGACTCTTTGAATCGGAATATATCTCGAATTTCCTCTTCATTATCTACCCAGTATTTCCAAGACTGAAAGTAACCGTAAAATTTTACACTTTTATGGCGAGGGACCTCAACTAACCTTTCGTCAAAGGATAGAGCCCATCGCTCAGAGCGTATTGGAAGCTTTGAGCAAGCATTCCGACGTTTTCCAATACGTGATAATGTTGTTTCCTGTATATTGAACACGGTTGGAAGCGGAGATTTCTCTGGGATAATAGGATAAAGGCCTTTGCTTGTTGCTATCGCGTATAGGAACGCGTACTCTAGCATAAGATTTCCTAATCGGCCTCTAAAGTCAACACAAACAATTTTGGAGGATTCTGAAAAAGTGAAAGTGGTTCTTTTTCTGATTTTCTTTTGAATGGTGGCAGAAGATGGTTGTTGTATGACAGTGCCATTGAATGTTATAGTACTTTGTTTCCACTGGAGTGTGTCCATGTCTCTTTGATGCAGTTGCAGCAGACTTTTATCAGATTCAGACCTTTTATACAAAACAGCAAAAGTGATCAGCACTGGAAGGCAAAGGTAAACTGAAAAATGAAAATGACAAGATAAAAACTTAGAGCATCGTATTGTCTACTGTTTTTGCATTCTTTTTTTTTTTTTAACAAGTATCATTCGATTTAAAACCAACCAATGTAAAATTATTGTATTTCGATGATTTTTTCGAATTCTAATTGGGAACAGAGATCCTTAATATTGTTCATCGTGTAGCTAGAATTTTCAATGCTTTTTTAATGACTGAGAAGAAGGGTTTTGATACGTAATTTAATTACTCATTACTAAAACATTCAACAAGTTTCATAGAATATACTGCAGATCTGTAGTTCGCTGGTCTGATAAAAATGGTGTGGACGACCAGGAAGCTTAGTGTTAACCATTGCAAAAAGTATATTTATTGCGCACAAAAAAAGTGTGCTGGTTTGTTTTGTTTTTGTTTTTGTTTTTTTTTTTCGATTTAGCTCCGATCTCGAAATATTACTAATCGTGTGTTCCTGGCGTATTCTTTTACTTCATCCACAACAAAACATCCCCAAGCCGTTGCCCTCCTGGGCATGAAATTGAGTCCATCGGAAATTTCGCCTATATATATGTATACTGCTATATTGGGTGGCAAGGCAATTCGGTCCAGCAAGACTTGTACATGCAGTTTTATTGTGGAAGTAGTAAAGAACGATCGGTTAAAAATATTTTGAGGATAGAGATTTATTACATTTTCAACAGTGAAATTCTGTGATTTACTACATTTTCAACAGTGAAATACTATGATTTATTACCTAATTTATTAATTAATTAATAATTATTAATATTGATTTATTAAGTAAGTGAAAAATGTCATCAGATAGAGATAGTAACTAAAACGTCTTGATAGAGACTAAAACTGCCAATTTCTTCCCAAATATGTTGCTAAAATCCATGTTACAATGTTTTCAATCTCACAACTGCTAATCTGTATGACGTCTCAACCGCTCAATTATGACATCACAGCCTATGACACTGTGTTAAGAAAAGACAGAGGCAAAGGGAAGATGAAAGAAATTGAAATAAACAGAAAATTTAATGTTTTGTAGTTGGTTATAGAATTTATTTCACTCGCGAGTCAGGATTTTTTTTTTCTTATATATTCACTCGTGCTTTGCACTCGTGAAAATTTATATTTGAAAAATCCTGTCCCACTCGTGAAATAAATTCCATATATCCAACTATAAAACATTGAATATATTTATTGAATAAAAGTGATATTCTCTCACAGTGTGAAAGCATACCAAGGTGATATTCTCTCATATGAAAGGAAATTAAAGTAGGTAAAAAATAATTTCTGGCCTGTCATAAGGTATAGATAGTAACTAAACCGTCTTGATAGAGACTAAAACTGCCAATTTCTTCCCAAATATGTAGCTAAAATTCATGTTACAATGTTTTCGATCTCACAGTTGCTAAGCAATGACATCTTAACCTCTCAACTATGACATCACAGCCAGGAACACTGTGTTAAGAAAAGACAGACGAATCTGGAAAATCACTTGTTATAACCAGATAATTCAATGTTTTGTAATTGGATATGGAATTTATTTCAATCGTAAGACAGGATTTTATTTTATATATTTTCACTCGTGCTTCGCACTCGGAAAAATTTTAAAAAAAATCTTGTCCCACTCGTGAAATAAATTCCATATCTAACTGAAGAACATTGAATATCCTCTATATATTTATTCGGTATACTACATACTTTGATGCAATGCATTTTGACATTTTTTTCCAGAGGGTGAGAGGTTCCACATCAGTCAATAAATTTCCACCCAGAAAAAAACCCCGTAAAATCCATTTCCCAAACGTGAAACAAACCTACTTCTTGGTGGTAGTAATGAGGTACACTTTTTCCAAAGTCATTTTTTATTTGCTGCAGTATATACCTTTATTATATATTTGTTATATAATACAGGATTTTTGCATCCCTAATATGAACACAGGCACGTGCCCTGTATTACACACCCTGTGAAATCAGCGCACTTTTTGTGCGCAGTATACACTTTTTTCAATATGGGTGGTACTGTAGCTCAGTGGTCGTCCATCCCAATTTTTTTTCAGTCCAGCTAGCTACAGATCTGCAGGTAGTGTGAATACAGAAAATCGTGCTTATAAGGAAGTGCCGAGGACATTAATTTTTAGTTTCTTATAACCTAGATGCTTGATATCCATGTAAACAAGTGTAAATGATACGAGGTAAGGGAGATAATGTAACTTCCTTATAACCGAGATGTCCTCATATCCGTGTTCATAATAGGCGCGTTTTACTGTATATTGTATTCGAGCTTACCTGTACAGCGGGTTCTTTTATTTATATTCATCCCTTTATCCACAACTGATAGCAAGAAAAAGTTGTAATCATCCGTGTCAGAACTCTAAAATAACAAGTGTATTATCTTATCATTAAATAACCATAATGATTTCATTCATCTTTTCTTACAGTTCTAAAAATATCAGGATCTTTTTTCCGAATTCTTGCATTTTTTTCATGTTTTGGAGACTTATTTTTTTTTTTTACAAAAGCATTATTTCTCATAAAATGCCCGAGTTCGATTTTTAACCAGACTTCATGCACTTACCAGAGATATTTAATTTTCAATAATAATTCCTATTTATGTTGATGATCCCAAACTTTGTTCACAGCAAACTCGTTCGTCCAGTAAGTGGTGTACTTAGTCGTATAAGATTCAGGAAGTGGACTTGGGTAATTTGATAACAAGCCTCCCCGAGGGTATAGTATTAACGTTTTTGCACTACATTTAGTTTTATTTTTGGGTGCTGCTTGTTTTTAAGGTACAGTCAGGTAACGTAAGGCACACTGTAGTTTGCCGACGGATTAAATACGGAATTAACAGGTTAAGTATATGAGTACAAAATTTAGTCCTTGACAGATTAAAAAATACCTTCTTTGATTCCTGCACTGAACTTGACATTTGGTTGTTTAATAATTTCTTAAAATTTTTCTTCCATTTCAGTTTATTCATGATTTGTTTAAAAGAATGCCTTCAAACTTTCAGCTTAATTTTGTTTAAACAGAAGGCACCATTGTTTTTATAGTGATGGCCAACTAACGTCCTTGTTCAGGGCCTTGACATTAGAGACTATTTTTAACCCCACACATGCCCGGCCAGAAAGGGCGTATTTGAAAAGAAAATGATTTATGAAAAATGCACGCTGAAGTAATTTAAAGGGGCCTGAACACTTTCATTTCACTTTCATTTACAATTTTAATTTCTTACTAAAAAAATAACTTCAGTGTAATGAAATAAACTTACAATTGATTTCATACAGGTGGTGAAACGTTTTCTTCTGGGCGAAAAGTGTCATGCTTGTCAATGAACAAATAGCACCAACCAAAGGCAACGGCCAGTGCTTAAAGAGAAAATTATTAACATCGGTCATCCATGGAAAAAGTTCAAAGCCATGAAAATACCATAGTTCTCATACTCATCAAAATGTAAAGCGCAAGTGAAAAGATTTTTCCCCAAAGAAATAATAAATAATTTCCTCTATTGTCTCCATGTTTGTTATAAAAGTTGGTTCACTTTATATATTACCCTTTGGGAGGAGGAGAAATTCTTAATACGTGATGAGGTATACTTAAATCAGAGCAAATCCGGGCAGGTGTAAAATTCTCCTTTGGTTGAAAATTAAAACTTCAGGATGTTGGGTTATGGAAATAAAACCCATTCTAAGGACATAAATACCTTTAGAACGTTTTGCTATTAAAGTATTGTCATATTGTAATTTTTGAATTTACCGGGTGGTAGTAAATACAAAAATTACAATATGACAAATTTTTGTATTTACTATCACCCGGTAATTTCAAAAATTACAATATGACAATATGTTGTACAAAATGTACTATCATTCATCTTATATTAAAAGCACAGAAATTAATTTTTTTTTCATGAATCTCTTTCTTTTCAAAACCACCCTTTCTGAGCATGTGTGGGGGTAAAAAAAAAATAGTCTCTAATGTCAGGGCCCTGAACAAGCACAATACTAGTAGTTATCTGGCCATTCAGTATATTGTTGGGAATGGTTACAAAAAATTCATTCAGCATAGGGAACACAAATTATTCCACATATTAACCCATCATCAGATTTGCTTATTTGATATAAAATGAAGATTATTGTTTGTTGTTTTGATTTTTCCATGTGATTTATGCAAAGAGTAAAATCAACAATATATTGCACAATTGATTAACACTATATATATGGTTACCGGTAATTTTTTAAAGAAAAATCGAATTGTAGTATATCTACTTTTTATATATAGTTGTACATCATTTCATCAATTGAAATGAGTACGCATCATTCAGCCTTGAATTGGTTTCTGAATTGCCGCCAAAAATGTAAAGTCTTTCATCTTCGTCAGAAAATGCAGCAGTAAACCACCCTCGTGGTTCAGGCACGTCACCCTGTACAGCAACCTTGACCCATTTCTGGGGAACAGACGTGTCAAGGATGAATGTATCATTGGAGAAATTCCCTGCGCCTTCGTGACCTTTATCAGAAGGATCAACCTCCCCGCCTACAACTATTATGTTGGTTCCATGGGAAACCACACCGAACACACTCCTTGGTGGCAGTGGTGTAAGGAAGGTCAAAGTTTGCCATGTTTTTGATTTGGTGTCAAATGCATGAACATCGTTCATTTCCCTGCCAGCAAAGCCTGCAACAACATAAAGAGTTTTACCCACGGCAACAAGGCCTGGACCACCGCGGCCCTCAATCACATCATACGATGGCTGTTTTTCCCACTGGTTTGTAGCGACATCTAAACAGTACAAATCATTCAGTCGGCCTTTTTCTGAACAACCACCAAATACATACAGTGAGTTCTCCATCGCTGTCATGGAATGAAAGCTTCTGGCTAAAGGAACCTCTCCACTTGTAGCAAGTTTACTCCATTCCTTTGTCGAGGTGTTGAACGAGTACATGTCGTTCGTGTCCCCCTCTCCCATTGTGATTCCAGATCGACCACCAAACACATACATACAATCACCAATACTAGCTACTGCGGCGGCATTTATAGGTTTGGGCTCGTTTTCCTTGTTTTTTGGCTGACAAACGCTCCATTCCTGTGTTTCTAGATTTAGACAGTGCACGGTACTGCCAATGGGCACTCGCGGAGAATGTTCCCCTCCAAAAACATAAGCGTTTTTGTTGATAATCACAAAGCCGTGACTGCTTCTGCCGATGGGCAAGGCACCTCTAGTGGACAGACGACACCACAAACCCTGCAATATATAAAAAAGAAACCATTATATTTCATGTCTAGAGTTGCTTATTCAAGAACTGAAATCCGATGTTTTTGTCCCAAACTACAATCCATACCTCAACTAAAATGAAAGTGTTGAGCAATGTACATTATATTTCTCATGACAGGTGCTTAAGCCTTTGGACACAATGTTTACTGACTTTAAAATCACTTTTACCACGAAAGAGGATCTTTCCATTGATTTACATAAGTTTTTGCTAATTTTATGCCTTAACCTAAGTATCGTGTTCATGCTTATTCAACTGAAGCGCGTTTGATTTAGATATGATATTTCAGTAACAAATAATAATAGAGAAATCAGACGACAATTTCATTTTTGTTAAACTGAATAGACTAATTTCACTACCTGCATATCTCGCTTGAAATAGTCCTTGACAAAGTTTTGACAGTAAAAAACCTACGTGCACGATGTCAAGCTACCACCTCAATACACAAAGTACGGCAAGTATTAACAGATACTTTTAAATATACTGAGTGTAACACTGCAACGTCGAGGGTAAAAATATTAAAACAAGTTGAATTGCAGAAAGCATTAAATAGGCCGCAAAAATATATTTAGCATTTTAAAGTATTTAGAAGAAAGAGTCCAACAGAATAAAAATCAAAGTTCAAGAAGTATATGATACATTTTATAGCAAACTGTACGCTTGCCTTATTTTCTGTGCAGCTGGAATCACTGCTGCTATTTGCAACTTTTTAAAAATAACACTAATGCAATTAAATTAGTTCTTAATGATATACATATAACACAGGTCACTTTAGCCTTTTCCTTCGGCGCTCGTTTTGTGATCTGGAAAGGGGAGGGGGGCTGGAGATCATAGTTCGATTGTCATTTCCGGTGTCGCGTCAAAGATCAGACATGCATGTATACAATGTTATATAACTGTTTATGTAACTGTTTATATATATTAAAAAAAACAATGTATATTGTGAATTATGTTTAAATTGTGCATTTATATATGTGGAAATGCCTTTCGGGGCCCTTGATTGGTAAATAAACTAGAGCGAGCTCGTTGCAAAGCAACGATTAGGTCTTCCGTTGGAGCTGCGGAAAGAAGTGACCTTGAGTCAAGGTCATGCCACACTCTAAAGTTATACATGTAAGCAATCTTGTAAGGGGAAGCAACTTACAATATTTCGCTAGGAAAAACTGTAAAGGAATGTACGTGACCTTGAACATTCCAAATGACCTTGCGTCAAGCCATGACACACTCTCGTCATAAAACCCAATCTGTGTGTTACCGACTTGAAAAGTTCACAGTGACACGTCATGTTTTTTTAGTCCATACATAAGTCAAAACATCTTATCCATAGTGACCTTGAACTTGAGTCAAGGCCATGTCACACTCTGCATGATACCAGCAATGTTTCACTAGTACAAATACGGTAGCGAAATTACAGTTTCTCTGTCAGTGACCTTGACTCGACCAAATGACCTTGCATCAAGGCCATAACACACACTGGTTAAGAACAATCCCAATCTGTGGGTTTCTGAATGGATAAGTTCAGCCATGTTTTTTCAGATCATACAGCGAGTCGGAATAATTTGTTAGGTTCAACACAATGATTTAAAAATTCATTGAGAATGTTTTATGCCCAGTTTGGATAAATAGTAAAACGTGGAGATCGGCCCTTTGGATGAGACCGTATAAGGTCTCGTGTCGGGGTAAGTGCTAGCATGAAAAGGATCTCTCATGCTATAAATTTTGAATTTACCGGGTGGCAGTAAATACAAAATTTACAACATGACATGTAAATTTTGTATTAACTGACAACCGGTAAGTTCAAAATTTACAACATGATAGATCCATGGCACTTGATTCTACCTCTGATTTCAAGAGATTTGCACTGTTCCTGATTTGTATTGTTTGAATGGTCTTTTAAGCTTGAATGCTGAACAGGTGCTTGTGGACAGGACAACCCCCCCCAATATACACCCCGGGGTCCGAGAATATTTTTATTTGTCTTTTTCCATAAATTAATCTTCTAGTACACATTTACAATGTATCCCATATGAAAAATCCAAAAAATAACGTAGAATTAACGTTTTATTAAAAAATCATACCCGCGGTATTATGAAATAGAGAAGGTAAGTCACTTCCATTTGTTAACACTGGACCCCTCTTGGATATCGGGCCTCAAATATCATATACCTACCACATGTCACCAAAATATGTTATTATATCTTGTTTCGGTAGATAATCTTTGTCTTTAATCGTGCTATTTAATTGCCTATGCATTCCACAATAATCCGAGTATTCATCGTCAAACGTAAGAAATGTAAGATTTGGAAATGTCAAAGTAGAAATTATACGGAAGTGATGCAGAAACGACACCTAGCGGGTAACTCTCGAGTTCCGAGTGTTACAGAATTAAGGGAAAAGCCAGAGGTCTATGGAAAAGTTCAGGAAAATTTTGATAAAGAAGTCGAAATCGATTCATTAGAATTTAAATTTTGCTGCAGATTTTCCAGATGAGTTAGGGTAGTCATCAATATTCTTTTTAAAGGATTTTATCACTCAAACCAAATAGCGTTTTAAAAACGCTTTCTAACTGCACTTAACCAGTTTGTAAAATTTTCCTGTTGTTCTTCATACTCACATAATAATTGTTTATAACATGTCCGCAGATTGCAATTATTTGTATTGAGCAACTTACACCAATATTTCAGAATTCGAAGTTTTCTTTGAACATACATTGGGCATCTACCAAATTCGAAATAAACCATTAAGTTATTTGTAGATTTTCGAAGCGACATAATTTTCTTCAAAAAGATAATATGTACTTGCTCAACATGTGGGGCTTTATGAAATCCCCACATCTCACATTCATAATGAAAAACAGAATCTATACATATGTATCAAATAAAAAGAGTGTAGTCTCCACATTTAGATTATTCTCTTTCACTCTTTTCCACAAAGAAAAAGTACATTTTTCCTTAACATTTCACCTGTGGAATGCTGATCATTTTCTCCGTATTCCATCATTTACTGCTCAAAGGCCGTAAGTACCATGTACATTATAAAATGTATAAATTTTCAGCCATTCACCATTTATATCCTATTAAAATTTTAATTCCATCTATTTTGTTAACATTAAATTGCTGGAAATATAGTCAAAAAATCCGGAATGAAAATAATAAATGTTAAAAGTGAAATTTATTAATTTTCGGAAGTGCAATGCAAAATTCCGGAAATCAAATGCACTGAAAATGGTACCTCCCCCCACCCAAAGAAACTATTAGTACACACTTCGACGCTCAATTGACCACTCCAATGAACGCATTAAATCGTTACATTTTCTAAGTTTTAGAAATAAAATAAAAGACCTTAAAAAGTTTATAAAATAATGATATTAATCGTTGCAGACCTTGTTTTTCATTCATTTGACGATTCGCGAAGAACAAATGTCGCGTATGATTATTGGTTTACATTAAAATACATGTAGGTTGTGGATTTCTCTCGGAATTCAACACCAGCCCCCACCTATATGTATACGTACCTGAACAAACCAACCGATTGACATTTTCGGCTCTAAAGAAAAACATTGTATTCTTTAAAGGGGGGAGGGGGGTACGTATCGTGATGAGAGAAAATTTGATCACCTGTCAGTCCATTAAACATTAAAGATTATTTTGGAATATTTGTATACAACTGCGTGGCTTTCTTAGAACCAAATTAGTATTTGTTGGAAAAATTAAATAATTATTTAGATGTTTAAGATTTGTGACATATTTGTAAGAACCACTTTATTTACCAACAAAGTTTCACCCTTACATGGACGCCGTGATATACACATGTATTTGATTGGCTGTTTAATTACGGTACCATTCGGATATATTGCCATTCAAAGGACCAACACATTTTTTTTTAATTTGGATAAAAAGTCCGACAATTTTCAACCACGTTTGCTATAATTTTACCGAATCGGATCTTTTTTCCGTATAGTCGAAATGCATGGACGAAGGATAAAAAACTGTATGCTGATCAATCAAAACATCATTGCGATTGTGTATTTAATTTATGGAGACATGTTTTTTTTCTGTTTTTCCTTATCTGTGAATTACCCGTTTGCTTTGTACACAAGCATGTGTATTCTGAAAGCTCAGGATGTATTTAGTTTGGGCGCTCTTCCATGTAAAACTGCATGTACTTATAAGCATGTATCCGTAAAATCGTGTATTGGGATATTCTGTTTATTCGACGAAATAAAAGAAATGCATAAGTATATCATTCTGTACAATACAATTATAAGTTTGGTAGCAAATAATGCAAACTCAGAAGTGATTAATTTAATTTTCGATTTTCCCGAGAATTGAAAACGTCACCCCCACTTACAATTATTATGCATGTGTACATGCAGTTTAAAACATGAGACAGAAAAATAAATTGTTGCAAACCTAGTGGTTAAGTCGGCAATTAAAATGCATAAAACTTAAAATGAATAAATACACAGGCGGATAAGATAATGATAAAAAGTAAGCGTGAGATAGAGTGAAATAAAATAATATTGAAGATTTGAAATGATTTTAAACACAATTTTCTATTAATCGCTATGAGTACACATTGCTTTTTAACACCGATCGCTAATCTCTGCGGCCACGTGTGAACGACGAGTGGGTTACAGATTTTGAAGTAAAACACAGAGACAGAACGGAATGTAAACTGTCTGTTGTAAGAAGGCGTAAATTATTGTATGTTTAAAAGTATTATTTTATGTATATAGTTTATTTAATATTAAATGAAAAATTAAATGAAGAAACAAGAGACTGATAGTAAAAATTATACTTTACACAAGTACATGTATTAATACTTAATATTTCCATCACTAATTGCAATTATTTGCCGTAGCACCTTTTCAATTACAATTGAAATAGAATACAATAACACGGGATAGAGAAATAAATTGTTTGTTTTTTTTTAATTGTATTGTTGTGTCGACAGTGACCAGGTCGGTGAAAGCGATTAAAATTCGTAATGATTTTATGCACTAGTGTTTGGAATTAAGATTAAATCAAAGATGAGATTGTTATCTTAAAGATTCGATATAAATTAAAAAAAACATAATGTTTCATTAATCGTTGTTTCTACGCAATGGATTTGTCATCTCAGATGTTTGTTTTGTTTACATGGCTTATGACCGCAGGTGGCTGGTACACTGGTGACCTCGGCAACGTGGGATCGCGGGTTGTGTTACATAACTATAAACATCGAGGTGAACATGGAGAAATGCGTACTGTTAATGATCATTAATTATTCGATGCTTAAAGTTTAATATTACTTATATAGATATATAGATACATTTAATTCCTTCCTTTATTTGAAGACGTGTTCCCTTTAAATCTAAATTAAAAAAGAAAAGAAAGTTGTAAAAAATAATTTATGAGTGAACCACAGAACACGTTTAAAACCTTATTTAGAAGAAAATTAGCATTAAATACAGTAGGGTATATAATTTATTGCAAGCTTGTTAAAGTTATACAAATGAAGAGTTCTGATTTACTTGCCGAATGAAAACGCTTACCTGTTTACGGGACCTGCTTTTTACCTACATATTACGACATATTACACAATACTCGAACAAAACAACATTTGTATGAGATCAATAAGGTGTTAAAGAACAACTTTAATTCCGAAAGCCATATCGAAATATTTATCGTTTTTGAGTTATAAAGCGAAAACTTTCAAGGGCTCTAGATCCCTAATTTTAGGGGCCAGCCCCTTTTAAATGATATCAAATGAAAGCTCTTGCTATTATGCACAACTTTTATTCTACATGTTTTAACAAAATATTTTTAGTTTTAAAGATATAAAGGAAAATATGTCAAAATTTTTGCTCTTTTCCGCGTTCTAACTTTTGACCCCTCTCTAGCGCCATATTTAATGCAAAAATCAAAAAACAAAAACCGATGTGCACAACTTCAATGCTTCTTCTTTTCAATTTCAAAGGGTTTTGGGCTCCAATTATTACAGTCTCAGAGCCTTTGTCTGGAAACCAGAGGCATAAAAATTTCAATCAAAGGGGAATAACTCGTGAACAGAAGGTAATTTCCGAATTGTATTACGGTATTCTGACAGTGTTTTGCAAAGTCTAAAAGCTCTGAAAATTTGAACAAAATCCGTTCAGAAATGAGGAAGATATGAAGCTTCAAAGTTGGCGTCTAGGAAAAAAAAAAAAAGAATAATAAGAATAATCTTAACCATCAGAATCAGTAGAAGGTCTTCCGTTGGAAACGGAAGACCTTAAATATCTTGTATCTTGTAGACCTTGTAATGACTGTTCCTTCGGCATTTGAAGTGAAAGCCACGAGTATTTCGGATAAGACCTTAAGAAAAGGGGCCTGTATTCCAGTAGGCGTTAGGAGATAAAGAATCCTCACTGCTGTTAGGGGAAAGAAAATTTGATTCGCAAGGGGGGGGGGGTAGCAACCAAAAAAGGGGCAAATACTCCAATACTTTACTTTAATGCTCTAATTTGAAGAGGGGATTAGGTATTGGGTATCTGCAGTCAAGATCAGAATATTTACACTGAAAGGGAAAAGAAACGCAGGGTAAAATTTCGAAGTGGATTAATGCTTTTTTGCGAACGTATTTTCCAGTAGTGTTAGCTGACATTTAAACTCATCTTTACCAAAATCTCATTTGATTTTGACTGCTAATTCATGAGTTAATGAAATTCATATCAGTACCCCCCAAAATGAATGTATGTTTGTTCGCCCTAAAACGGGCTCGCCATTGACGCCGTTTGCCCTAATTCTCGTTCGCCTAGAGTCCGTTCGTTCTACAACACGTTCGCCCAAAGTCCGTTCGTCCTCTGTATGTTAGTCAATTAGTTTTTCGTAATTTCCTTTGATTTTATTGAATTTCGTGATTTCTTTCTGTTTAGATTATAATTTGTTGTGCTTGAACTTTCAGTTAGATGAAGAAATTTAAAAAAAAAAAAACTGTTAGTAATCGCTGCGATACTCGTAAAATCAGTAATGTTTTTATAATATTATATAAAGTTGAGAATAAAAGAGTCTTCAAAAATAAACCCGTTGCTCAGACGCTGCTCATCCCCAATTAAAATGGCCCATTAACATGATTAACGACACTCTCAATTTCCTTAATTATTTTCAAAATATACATGTGACACGAACGAATGTCAGATACCTCGGCCCATTGATATTTCGGCCCAATGACATCTCGGCTCAGACGGGTCGGCCCAAGATTTAAGACAGCTCGGCCCATACATAAGACAACTCGGCCCAAGCAAAATTTTACTATGAAAAATATATTTCCAATTTTTGGACTTGAATTGAAATATTAATTGAAAAAAGTACATGAATAAACTATCAAGTTTAAAAAAAAAAAAAGAAGATCTTCCATGAGCACATTGAGGATATTCAAAGAACGAGAAGACAATGCTATTTATTAAAGTGATAATTGATAAACAAACAAAATGCCGCGACGCATCCTTTGGAAGGTCAAGTGCGAGTTATATTTGTGACAACAGGGGGTTAATTACGAGCAGACTCAATTGGGAGACAGTAATTAAATACATTTAGATCCATCAAATATTTTCTCTTTTATTTCTTAAGAAAATCATTTCCCTTCATAAATTTCTTATCGTCGCGCTTATATCTAGTTTGAGTTCATCTTTTTCCCTAGCTACTTGTATGAAAGCAAGTACGTGACGCGTCTTTTTTTTTTTTTTTTTTTTTTGTTGGCTAATACAAGATTAACGCGCGCAACCGTGATACTGCAGAAAAAAAATTACATTTTCCACAAGAAATAGATGTAAATGAAAGACTGATCTAATTTAACAATTTTACTAGTTCTATTTAATATAACAAAACAAAAAATAGAAATTACTTAAAATTCAACGATAATGATGACATAAAATATCATCAATAGGGCGAACGGGATATAGGGCGAACGGGATATATGGCGAACGACAATTCAGGCGAATGGACCGTGCGCGAACGGACCTATGCGAACAGGTAGATAGGGCGAACAGACCCAATTACCCCCCCCCCCCCCTCCCAATATGAAAACAAAAATTCTCATCATCTCCCTCGCGCATCTGCCACAGCCTTGATTCTCCTCTACATGAAATTTATCAGTGCATTTATCTTTCTCACAGGTATATTATTCAACCCTTCCGACAGGGCAGCAATTAGTTGGTCGACAGTAGCTTGGGCATTCCAACGCCTTCAAGCACTACTGTCCAGTTAATCCCACAGATTTTTGACTGGAGAAAAAGATAGAATTTACGGAGACCGGTGGATTTGGTAAATGTGAGTGTCTCTGAGAAAGTCTTGGCAAACTCTGACTACATTTTCCCGGGAGTGAACATGCTGAAAAAATTAGGCATACGACGCACACGTCCGAGTTACATTTCGAGTCTTGAGTTTGATGACTATGCTCCCTATATTTGGAAATATTTAATCTTATACCTACTTATACAATTTTTTACATGATGTAGTTATAAGTGATTATGAATACTTCACATAAAGTTAAGTATATGAGAAAAAAGGAAACCTTAAAAATGAATGATATTTTCATTTAATGACAAATAAATAATAACAAAGTAATGTGAAATTAAAATATTGATTAGTGTGGTCAAAGTAAACAGTGTTTCCCACAGAACAGGAAAGCACAGTGTCAAATTCACAACAAGCAGGTGTTTCCAGTGAAATTTACAAAAATGGGTGTCATGTTTTCATCTCTTTCCTTGCAAAAAACAAAATTATATCAAAAATCTCATCTATTTTTACACAACAAAACTGATGGATCTCATATTACCAGCAAGTAAGTGTTGTTAATCAACTTGATATAATATAAAAAAGAAAATATTAAACAATTACTTAGCAGTAATATGTTTTATACGAAATAACACAACAAGATCTAAACAAAAACAATATCGAGTTTACGTGTACAAATTGTTCTTATTAAACTCGAGTATGATTGTACATGTATGAAGATTGCCATTGTGATCTTGCCACTTTATCATACATAATACATGTAATTGTTTTTAATGCAACAATAGAGGTCTACTGTAATACAATGAATGATACAGAATCAATTCTATCTTTAATGGGACTGATAAGCAATGAGTATAAATAAGTTTAATTCCAAATGTCCATTCTCCTAAGCTAACATGCATATCAATTGTGTAATTAACAAAAGTCTTTAACAGTTTGACTAGCTAAGTGCTGATCTCGACCGTGTGGGGGAGTAGGATCGACTCCTTAATCTGTGGGGGGACGGAGATCTACTTCGAGCTGCCTTCTCATTGTTAACAATGGTCTTAAGGTTTCCTAGGTGATGGAGAGCTCTGAAATATACAATCAGTTAAAGGGGTTTAAATGGCTGTATATGAACATAAAGTAATGTAAACATACTTATTTTTGCAGTTATGATCATCATATTAGTGCCTTTCCGGCTGATTCTATTCAATAATTTAAGTATACACACAAGATTTAATCAAGTACACTTAGAAGCTTAGTCCCATATTGCACCAATTTGGCATTACGCTAAACAGCTGGTGAGAAAAACTGAGCTTAATTATGAGTGTGTAATATATGTTTAACTGTGTTTAAAACAAAGTGTTACTGATACAGACTTTTCTAGGGACTGCCCCCCGGGCTGCTCTTTCCAGTTGTAACCCTCCAGGGCAGGAATGTCATCCTCAGCTCTATCTGTACTAGGAGCTCCAGCCTAAAGGTAAAAAAACACTGAGCATTATTTCACCTCTTAATGGGTTTCTAGTTTTTACTCTAAAACTCTTTAGACAATGATGAAGAGGTTTTTTCCACAAATCTAAATATTTTCTTGAAGTATTTTATGCTTGTATTGCCTGAGGCTTTTTAAAACTGTTTGTGAGGAATTTTTAGTTTTGGATGCACATAAGATTACATGTCAGATTTCCAGGATCAAGGAATTTCCTTCTTTAATTAGTTACTGGAAAATTTCTTATTTTCAAGGAGTGACATTTTTGTGGTTTAAAGTTACATAATGAGTCAAAATCATGTGTTTCTTTTAAGATAATTGCATCATAAAACAAAAGATTTATGTGAAATATGACTAAAGCGAAGTTTTGACAACTCAACTGCACTGTAAAGCAAGAAAAGAACTGCAAAATGTAAGTGCCGGAAAAACAAAGGTTGTATCTACCGCTTTGTTGTTATCGTCAATATCAACGATGTCAAGGTCGAGCGACTTTTCTTTTTAGCGTGAAACTTGTAAACAACATTGAATTGGAGCAAACAGAAGTAAAAAATAAGTTCTGATCATCTTTATTGAAGATTGTATCAAAATCCTTGGTCATCCCATATTTATATCTATGGAATTGACACCATGGTAAATTCTTCAACTTTTCTGCACATGCACACAATAAAAAGGAAGAAGTGAAGCAATATTTTTGTGTTGGGGCAAACTAAAATTATTTTTACTTTTATTTTTCTCCAAAAAAGTAGATTTTTTAGGTTCTGAGACCTGCAATTTTCTGAAACCTAATATCTTCAAGAATTGAATAAACTTTGCATGTGTCATCCAAAAATTCTACTTTTGTCAGTTTTCCCCTTTTTCCGTCACAGTGCCACTATCAAGAAAAATTACTGGCTCAAGGGATCTGAATTTACTTTATCTTAACATTTTGTGGGGGATAAGAATTTGTGGGTCTTTTCATACCACAAAAACAACTAAAATCAAACCCCCACAAAATTTTGTGATTTCCCAGTATCTATATAGTGTTTGGATTCTCTATGTTAGCTTACCTGAAGATTTTCTATGGTGGTAGGATTTCCAGCTGCATGAGCTGCAGCCTCAGTTTGGAGTTTAAACAACATGTTCTTTAAGGCCTCCAAACTGCCGGGCTGTGGTGTCCCTGTCAGTGTGTCAGTCTGTAAGTCATCATCATCTGTTAAGACTGGTGGCTTTCTAAAATAGAAAATTTATTATCTCTTGTTCAAATGGGTGATGTGATATCATAAATGTGTTTTATATTAAATTAAGCATCATATGCTGGTAGAAATATGAAATTTGTAAAATGTTAAGGACTGGTTTAAACACAAAGTAGCTGCTGGTTTCTTACAGACAAGGTAATACAGGTTTCTCCCAGGAACGATCACCGTCCAGTACCATATCTGTGTCCGGACTCCAAGCTCGATTAGACATTCCAGGCCGTGCTGGGGATTGATCTTTAATACAAAATTTCATCAACTAACAGATAAAGCATTCCTTTTTTAAGCTCCAAAGAAGCAAAAATCGAAATATATGTACCTTTTGGCCAATGAGTTATTCTGTTTTACTATTTATACTTTCAAACTTAAAATTGAATTTGCACCAACTCTAGTTTATTAAGTTGAATCCTGTTTTAATGTTAGACTTTTTTTTTCAAATTTCTTAATTTGGACAGCAATGTTTCATAAATAGTTATCGTTAATAAATCCCTAAATGTCAGACACTTACAAACTACAGAAACAACAGCAAAATAGCACTGGCGCAGGAAAATACCCTTATTATATTGTACTGTATTTGAGTCATAGAAGAGACATGTACATACCAGTACATGAACACTCATGTACAAAAAAAAAATCTTTTTAGTTTTTCATTGACTTAAATACTTGACAGTTATCTTGACCATCAAGTTTACCTGGCACAATAGGGCTTGCTCCTGTAATGTCACTTTTGTTTGGTGCTGATATCCCTGCTAACAATGCCTCAGTATCCAAGCTAGAACATCGTGGGGGATGGGACACATCATAGGAGTTATCTGCCTTTGTTGAGGTTTCTAAGTATTTTTCTAAAATATCACTGCTATTTGCACTGGTGTTTCCAGCCTTAAGTACTTCTGGTGCCAACTTGCTGGAGAAATTGTAGGCTTTTCGACTTGACTTTGGTGACTTTAAAGAAGATTTCCCTGGTGATTTGGATAGTAAATCATTAAAATCTAGACCAGGAGGGTTTGAGTCATGTGATCTATTAAAGTTTGATTGAGCCACATTTTCTGAGAAGCCCACTCGCTTTTGAGGTAGTTCAGCTGTAACACATGTAATATCAGATTTATCTAGTCCATGGACCCAGCTGGGAGCGGGCCTACCAGACACAAGGTCTCTCTTTGACCAAAAGCTCTCACTGGGATTGGAAATATCCAGAGCATCAATCCAGCTGGGTGGCTTCCTGCTCTCAGATAAATCCAAATCATAGCTTTTCACTGGAATGTCATAAGCCTGTCTGGCTGGATTGCTGGCTAACCTCTCATGGTGTCTGAATGAAGACGGAGACACAGACCTACTTCTCTCCCTTGTCTGGGACGACTTGTAGCTTGTTGGAGGAGGGAGGTTTGCCAGACCACTCCGCCTTGATCCAAGAATGTCTTCTACACTAGAAAGGTCCCTTTTCTGGGGAGCGGCCCCCACTGTCTTGGACCGGTTCCTGGGGTTTTTATAAGAGTATACATGTCCTCGCTTCTGTGCAGCTGAACCCAGCTTCATATTGATCAGTGTGTCTGTATTGACACTTTCTACATCACTAGGCCCTTCCTTTGGTAAGGGTTCATCATGAGCTATTCTATGTAATAATTCTCCTGATTTGTTTAAAGCTTCATCCACTGAAAATTCAGAAATGTATTCTATAAATATATTGTACATTTAATATTAAGTTTAATAAAATTACTAAATAAATACCCCAATCCCTTCTGAAAGAGCAATATTTATATTCAATTTTACTTTAATAGCAAATAACCATCTAACATAGACTTATAAATATGGAAATGTAGTCTTTTTTTTTTACTAGTATTTGAACTGTTTTCTCCATAATTTCAAACATTTACTACTGTTTGAATTAGGATTTCCTCTTATGTCTATATTTCCAGTTATTCATATACATGTGTATTTAATTTTTCACCAAAGTTTCAAAAGGCTTCTAACTGATTTTAATTTTTTTAATAAAATGTTCTTATCTTTTGATTAAGTGGAATTAAAACACAATTATAAAACAAGTACCAGTATGCCCTGAGATTTCATATTAGTTAAACCAAATATTTTAAGCCCCACTACCAATATTTTTCAGTTGTTTAATATCCATATATATCACAAATCTCTTGTTCTTTATAGAACACAGCTGTACATGAAAAGTACATGAACTTCACAATGAATGGGTACAAAATAATGATTCTACTATAAGAAATGTGTAGAAAATGGAGATATACTGATTACATTTGTAAAGCCTGATACCAAAGCCAAAGTAAACCAAATTCTTCTTCTGCAAAATCTTTTACAGATTTATGATACCAAAAAGGGGTCTCTTCTGATGAATTTTTTCTTTATTATTTCTTAGGATTGATAAACTGATATAAATGTTTGTTTATTTCTTAATTACTTTCCTTAAGCTCCAGTATGAAGCTGCCCCCCAAACTCCCAAAGGTTCTTACTGCAGAAAAAAAGATGGTTTACTTACAAAATGAAACACAATGACAATGGATGATGATGCAACATGGAAAATTAATCTAATGCTATAAAAACATTTTAAAATACCGGTACATGTATGTGTATATTTGCTTTGAATATTTTTTTCCTGTTACAGCAAATTATAACTCTCATAGCTTTTTTTCAGTCTTGTACATTTTGACTTGGCCAATATGTTGTATGTAAAAAAAAAATCCTGTAAAATTAGAATTAGAAAACTCCACATTGCCTCACAAATATCTGTATAACAATGCATATACAATGTAGAAATTAAAGAGTAAATGAAATGTTAGCTTTAAGAGTATGATAAGCATCATGAGGTCTGGATTACATGGCATGGTTACAGAAGTGCATGCATACCTCTGTCAACTTTCCAATGACCTGCTAATATATATACAGTATCCCAGCTCATCACAAAAAGCACAAAACATATACACAGATATATGATATTCAATATTCCAGCTCATAAACAGCACCCAACGTTATATATATAGATGTAATATACACAATATTCCAACTTATCATAAACAGCACACAACATTAAACATAGACATACTATATTCAATACCCCAGCTCACACATCAATATATATATAGATGCATACAATATTCCAGCTCATTATAAACAGCACACAATAATATATAAAGATGTACTATATAATATTCCAGTTCATCAGAAACAAACAGAAGTACGGAGGCATGCTTTGGCCAGTGATGTTATGTAGTCTTTGGTGCAAATTGTACACCTTAAACTTAAACATGCAGTGTATAAAACATGCATATGCAATCAATTCATGCCAAAATACACATAGGAAGCCTCAAATTGAGTCTGTCTGTAATATATACATGTACATGTTTATAACAAAGTGATTTCATAGATAAGTAGCAAAGTTATCAAGTGTCAAATTAACTTTATATTCTTTTCTCTAACTCAGTATATTTTGACATATTTTTCATGAGCATGAATGGAACAAGGGAAAATAATTCAGGGTATAGAAAGTGCAATAAAAAAGAAATCTGGCCTATTGAAAATTAATAAACTTTAACTTAAATCCCATTTTAACAACCAGAAACTGTGTCACTTCATATATTTTGTCCATCATAAAATTTCCTAAAATATATCAAAGTTAACTAAACCAGCAGAGGAAATTTTGTTTGAAGGAAACTGTACTGTAAGACTGTATAAAATCATATTCTTGCAAAAGAAAACACCTTGTCAAAACTTCACAATTTTGTATTGATGTGATTGAACTACTTTCAAAACATGCCTTCACTCTCTACACATTATACCAGTGTCTTACCATGTCGGTTTCTCCTCTCCCGATCTGAGGCCATTACAAAAATATTAAAAAACTTTACATAAAATTTTTGTTAACATAAATACATTCAGCACCTTAAAATGATTGTTAGTCTGAGTAAGTTCTGGAAAATGCATGTTTAAAAATGTGTTTTATAACAATGTGTGGTGACAAACTTGTATGAAAACATGGATTTTTTTATGCCTTCATTATTCTATACATATAACAAAAATTTTTTGATTTGTTGATAGGGGTGACACTGTAGTGCAAATATGAATAGCACGTCAGAAATTGATGTACAAGTGAATAATGAACAAGTTAATATGAAAAATGTTTTGGTGTCTTTACTACTAAGCCATTATTATAAGTCAAATATCTAAAAAATAAAAAAGGGGGGTGGGGCTAGGTGAAACACTACAAATCTATTTATTATATAACTTAAGAGGGCTGGGTGGTTGTGGTCATTTTTAGACTATATTGATCTCCTTTAGAAGAAGAGCTCCATATAAAGATATACACTAAAATGTATGAAAATTTTGTTTGCCAAATGATAGTTGACAGCTTAAGATATCATATCTAAAAAAATAAGTTATATCTGATGGTTAATTTCTTGACCCCCCAGCCTCCTTAAGGTATTTCTACTCAAAATCTAAAGATCTTCTTAACTGATAAAATTGTACATTTGTAATACTTTTAGTGTAAATATAATCCAAAACTTTTGAAATCTTTAAATACCTTCAGCTCTGAGAGCCATACTCCTTTTCATTTTGTCATAAGATTCATTGATAGATTCCCTAGCGTTGGCCAGCTGGAGTTCAGCGGCTGTGTCCCGGACACCTGTTTGCAGAGATCGTTCTGCAGTGAGATGGAGGGCAGACTTAGGATCCAATAGATCTGACACATTCTGCCTATAGCGACCTTTGTATTTAGAGGTCAAACCTTCAAAATACACAAAAAATTCAGAATATAAACAACTCAATTATCTGCAAAGAATGCCTTATAAATTTTCTAATGTGAACTTAATAGACTCCCTGAGACTAAGAGTAGTTCTAAATGTATCCAAAGACACAGTTGTAGATCAAAGTAGTCAATTTTTGCTGTTGATCTTGCAGCTAGTAAATTGTACTGCTCTAAGAGTTATGATATTGCTTATAAAGCCATAGCCTGAGTTAAATTTTTTTAATAACTCAAAATTTTCAATGCATAAGTTTGTGTTTCCATCAATACTAGTGTAAAAGGCCAGTTTGATTACCTGCATATTGGTCCAGGTAAGCTTCCAGGGCTTCAGAGGCAGATGTAAAGTCTCTATTTCCCACCTTGATTCGAGAACCATTGCATCTGATCCTGTTCAGTCCATGGAGAAAGTCTGTGGGTGCTGGATCCACATCCATTGTCATACTGTGTTATAGAGGGACCTGTAGGCTCCTACTTCATTGTATTATTGTGCACCTTAGCTGTCCCTAATAACCAAAGTCATCCTATTATATACCTAAAATATGAAAATTTGTCATTCAAACAATGTACATTTTAACATACAGAAAATATCTGCTGCCATTTAACTAAGTGCTTTATTGCATGTTGACCAAGTATGCATCAGTGCACATAAACCATTTCTTGTATGTAATTCCAATTAATTGGGTCATAGGTAACACAGTGTGTATATAATCTCAATCTATGAGGATCTAGCTATCTTGTGAGGACAATTAAATGACTGAAGGATTTAAATCATTAGATTTTTATTTCATGTTCTCCCTGCATGCCTCAATGAATGTACAACTTCATCAATGCTTTTTTGAAATCATTTTAAATTTTATCAGCTTTATTGATATGTTAATGACACACTCTAAAGACTAATAATAACTAGATGCTGTCATGAGACAGTAATACCCGCACTAAGGTGTTTGCCTCTAAATGCACACTCCTTCATATTGGGCTTACCAAGGAAAAAAGTCCAATCAATTCTATAATTTACACAGTACATGTATTTGTCAAATCGAGCATAAAATGCTCAGGTGACTATGTGACCCATGAACCTCTTATACGCATTTCATATACTTAATTCATTACCAGTCTGAAATAACAGAATTTAATTAATGATGAAAATTAGGTTTTGCTAAAAGGGGGGGGGGGAGGTATAAATTTTTGGCCCATAATTGGAACTTTTCAAATTTATTTTCTCAACAACAAATAATATTATTTTAGTACAAAGCATTTTTGATGAATTTATCAAAATGTGCAAACTTTTTTTAGTATTTGATTAGGCAAAAACCTCCTTGAAAAGCCATACCCAATCAATTTTCTCACCCCCCCCCCCCCCAACACGCACACACAATTTGCCTGTTTTTGGAAATAGGCCTAGATGGCAAAGTTATGTTAAACATCGTTTGTTATGATAATTTAAAATTTGTTCTTGTACTGTACATGTATGTGAACACCTTTTTGAAAATTTCTACATCACATTGGGCTTGCGTCACCCTACCAGTACTAGTACTAGTTTTACCATTATCATTTTTAGATTGCACATGCCATGTGACATGGTGTGGTGCAGTGTTACATGTATATCAGTGGAAATTAATTCATTTTGTGTTTTAATTGGATTATATTTCATGAAGTTGACAGGACCTATGACAGTCGGTAAGTACAAGTGTAAGTATAGATTGGGGTAAAATAAACCGAAATGCAAATGGTTAGGTTAAAGTTTAAAAAGGATCAAAGATCATCGGCAATCTCCTATGCAGAGTTGTCGTTCGTTTCTCTCTCAGACACTGAATGTAGAGAGTGGATCATCGGGTGCCACAGTAGACGAATTTCACATTCTGAAGAGTTATCTCCCGTTGTCGACATTACATTCAGTTACAGGCACAGATCCGGGAATTTTTTTCGGGGGGGGGGGGGGGGGGGGGGGGGGGGGTCCACACCTCAGTCAAAAAAAATTCCAGCCCAGAATTTCCTGAGGAGCAAAAAAAAAAAAAAACCAAACAAACAAGCAAAATAAAAACAATGATGGTGGGGTCCATGTTTTTAAAGGGGGGAGGGCATTTAAAGTCATTTTTTATTTGCTTCTGTAAATCAGTATATAGTCCTATTTAAATAACTCTGCAAATTCCAGGGGGGGGGGGGGGGGTTCCAATCTCCCTAGCCGCTCCCTGTCCCTGAAATGACAAATGATCATGTGACTCCTAAATAGTAGAAAACTTTTCCATTTGACTATACATACGTAATTTTGTTTCTTGTGTTATTATGTTATGTACATCTAATGGTTTAAGGTTATGAACCCCTGGAGGTCATCCCCACTCTCTTAATGAACTGGAAATGTTCATAATATGACTACATCAAATTAAATAAAAGTGCATCAATGATAAGATTACTTGACATTTCATTCATGAATTTGGGTCAACCCATGTACCCTCCTAGAATTAGGAATGAAAATCATTCAAAGAGATGGACCATTAAACTATTTGTATATATTCACATTTTTTTTTATGTCAAACCAAAGTATTAGACTAGTTTGCATACATGAACAAACAGGGGTCTGGGAAGGGGAAGGGGCAAGGGGAAGGAGTTATCTCTTTACATCTTAATTGTTGAAAACTCCTAAAATGAATGTTAACTTCAAATCCGACTTGTATGTCTTCATTATTTTTAAGTGGTGGTGTCTCCGTATGAATGAAAAATTCCCAAGAGGGACATTTAACAACAAACAAACATTAATGACTTAAAAAACACAATATACATGTACATGTTTATTAGTCAACAGATATACTTCTGATCATATCTCTAGTTCTCCCTTGAATCAGAAATGATGATATAAATATTTTAAGAATGGTTAAGAGTTGAAAAGGTTGTGCATTTTAAAATTCACTAAGCTCTGTGCTTGAATTAGCTATACCAGTTTAGCTTATTTTGCTACTCAAAGCACCTTGATTAACTATTTTTAATCATACTGTTTTCTGAAATGTGAAGTTTTTTCAACATGGATACAAGTCATACCTTTTCAGATTCTGAAAACAATGCATGAAAAAAAAACTGCTTTATAATACTGTAACTCTTTCCAAGTACTAGTGATCATCAGTTTTTAGCTCACTTGAGTTTTTCTGGTTTTCTGATCACATTTTGTTTGTCATCCATCTGTCCGCCTGTAAACTTTTCACATTTTTGTCTTCTTCACTAGAACCGCTGGGCCAATTTCGACCAACCCTGCCACAAAGCATCTTCGGGTAAAGGGGATTTAAGTTTGTTCAAGTGAAGGGTCACACCCTCTTTCAAGGGGGGATAATCAAGAATTAGTGAAAATTTAGTGGTATCATTTTAAAAAAGTTTTATCAAGAACCACTGACTGGGCCCAAAAAGTTGAAACTTTCTTTACATAGACTTAGTGTAGCTTCAAATTTGTTAAAATTATGACCCACTGGGGTAGGGTGGGGCCACATATGGGGATCCAATGATTTACATAGAAAAATGCAGGGGATTTTTTCCATCATAAATCTTCTTCTCATGAACAGCAAGGGCATTATTGTCCTCCGTTTTCGCAAAAGGGACCTATGGGACATTAAATCTCATTTGTCTGTCAGTCTGTCCATTTGTCAGTCTGTCCGTCTGTCACAATAAGTTTAACCTTGGTCATAACTTCTGAATAATAAGAGATAGGGCTTTCATATTTCACATGTACATTACTTACAAGAACTTTCTAAACATACCATGATTTTTGAACCCAAGACCTTGACCTTGAAGTTTGACCTACTTTTCAAAAAATTTAACATTATTTTAAATGATCATCTTGAAAGAGAAAAGATAGGGCATTCATATTATGCATGTATATTACCTGTGACAAGACCTTTCTAAATATATCATGACTTTTGACTCTGTGACATTGACCTTGAAGTTTAACCTACTTTTCAAAAATGTTATATTTCCTTATAACTTTTGACTGAGAAGAGATAGGACTTTTATATTTGACAGGTACATTACCTGTAACAAGATGTTTCCAAGCATGCTATGATTTTTTTTACCCCTTGACCTTGATGTTTTACCTAATTTTCAAAAATTTTAACTTTGGTGATTACTTTTGAATGACATATGATAGGGCGTGCATATTTGAAACAATATGTCATAAATAATGGCATCCCATCCACTAGGACACAGAAAGTAGGGGACCACAATTCTTTGAATTTGCTTGTTAGTCATTTTGATATGGAACATCCTCATATAGTGTAGATTCAAGTTTTTTATGCCCTGCCATGAATATGGCCGAGGCATATAGTGTTTGTCATGTCCGAATTCAATAAAATGTCATATGCTGATACATACTGATGTAAGCTTTTCAACTGCATCAAGATTTTTGACCTTGAATTTTCCTTTGACCTTACTTTTCTTAAATTAGTGTATAGATCAGTTTTGAATAAACAATTCAAGATATATTTATCAAACTTCATATGCTGATATATACTGCTGAGAGATATCAATTGCATCAACTTTTTTGACCTTGACTTTTCCTTTGACCTTGACCTCACTTTTTTAAATTAGTGTTTATCTACATTTTAAATAAACCATTTCTGATATTTTTGTTGAACTTCTATGCTAATAGTAAATACATACTGATATAAGTTTTTCAACTGCATCAACATTTTGACCTCAACCTTTCCGTTGACCTTGACCTCTCTTTTCTCAAATAAGTGTTAAGCTCAGTTTTAAATAAATCATTCAAGATATTTTTATCAAACCTAATATGCTGATATGTATTAGTGAGAGCTCTTCCACTGCATCAAAAACTTTTCATCTTGCACTTTCCTGTGACCTTGACCTCCCTTCTCTTTAATTTGTATTTTGCTTAGTTTTAAAGAAACAATCTAAGATATTTTTATGTAAGCATGCACTTATAGATAATTTTGTGAGAATTTATCATCTATATCCATTTTTTTTAGATTTTAGTTTCAATTTTAAAGAAACTGTTCAAGATATTCTCATCAAACTTCATACACTCATACAAATTTTCATGTTGCATTAGTAATATACATTCGGCGGGGCATTTATGTCCTATGGACATATTTCTAGTTTTCAAATCATGACCTCCGAGGATAGGCTCAGGCCACAATAAGGGATCAGTTTTATAGAGATTTAAAAGGAAAAAATATCTTCAAAATTCTTTTTTTTAAGAACAACAAAAGCATGATTAATATGGAAACATTCCCAAGAAGTGTAGATTTTTTCCTGCCCCTATTTGCTATCCACATGGAAATGCAAATTTTAAAACCATTTTACACATCCACAGGACAAAATCAATCATCTTCCAAATGATCATGATTTAAGGCTAGTGCATAAAATATAAGGGAAGTTCTGGGAACCAGGATGTTTAAACATGTTAAATATTTTTTTTAAAAAAATTGACCCCCATTTGACCCCCAGGGGGAAAATAAGAATTCCGAAACCTTACTGCACATCTATAGGACACCACCAACCATCTCCCAAAAGATGATTAGGCTACTGTGTAAA